CCATGCAATCTTCCATGGGATATAACATGCCAGGGGGATAAAGTCAGTCAAGAAGAGCTTGATGCATATAAAAGGCAGGCCGCTGAGGACTGGGAAACAATTCTCATACACCGGGCAACAGAATTAAAACCAGGTACTTTAGAATAGGTTAAAGAACCGTGAACTAATTATTCAGTTCGTAAGTAAAGGCTTTAATCAGGTGACAAATGTGACTGGCTATTTAATTGTTTATGACATATATATATATATATATATATATATATATATATATATATATATATATATTTTTTTTTTTAACCTCAAACCCAGGCGAGAGTCCTGCTTTTTTCCATTCACTTCTTATGATGTTGTCTTTAAGGTGCCCACATCATAATAGTGGCCATGAGTACAAAAGATGGCATGTATCCTGGTAGTACAGTGCATTACAAAGTTAAAGTTATCCCGTACTTACGGGACTTGTGGTTTTCCTTCGTGACAGAGGGGAGAATAACCAAGGTAGGATATTTTTCCAACTAAAATGTCTTCCTTTTTTCAGAACGGGATCGGGCATTTAGATTTGTAAGTGTTGTTACTAGCCAACACCTACATTAAAGTACACTCTGAACCTAGTCTCCTATACTACCAATGTATAATAATTTTTCTACGATATATAATCTAATTGTTACATTTCAGGAAGAATTTGCGAAAACAAACATAGCATTTTGCCATCGTTCAGAAGACGAATTCAAGGCACCATTTTTGCATGAAGACTCCAAGGTTTTGAAGGCGTGGTTAAAACTTGTATCGATCGAGATAAAGGATGCCCACATTGACTACTCTTTGGAAACAGAAGTTGGCGAAACCTTAGGTTAGTAAGATTAAAGAAACAAATTGTCTAAATATAAAATAATTAAAGATTAAAATAATTACTTGCTGACAAAATGCTATGCATTGTTTTATTTTAAAAACCAAAATGCCGTCCGAAACCCTAACGTGGCACGTATGATAATTGATTTGTAATTGACTATTTAATTCAGTCGTTGTAACGATGTTAAAATGTTAATGTTGCAGGCCAGATTGAAATCAAGGCTGATATATTTTCAGATTTTAATTTGGCCAATTCAGGATCAAAATTCCAATTTTGCTAAAGAAGATTTAAAATCTAACCAGTTCAAATTAAATTTTCAATTATGCGTAGGTCAAATTAAAATCTGACTAGGATATGATAAAATTTCAATATTACAGATTCAGCTTTAAAGTTTAGCCTAGGCAGAGTTGTAATTTTAACTAGGCCTTGTGCAATTCAAAAGCTGCTAGTTCATGTTCAATCCTTCAATTCTACCCCACAGATGGCGAACCACTGAGCGTGAATCAAAAGGCAAGAAGGTATGTCAATGTGTTCCGAGCATGGGCCGAAGCCATCTTTACGTCTGCTTTAAATGAATGTCGGTCAGAAGAGGAAAAAAATGCCATTGCAGATGCTTTTTTTGGTCGGTTTGAGGAGGATGTTGCCAGCAATCCAAACGATTTCGGTTATGATATGATATTGGCATATATAGATATCATGAAAACCAAACCAATGGCTTGAAGTCGTAGCATGCGGGGTGCAGAGTTTTACCTATTTAAAATTGAGACATATTTGATTAAAAATTTTCTTTAATGTTTTTATAAGTAAGTTTAATAACACGCATAATAAGCGTCTCACACTTTTATGATATAAAAAAGTATGGAGCACAGAGTAATATAGGATATGCCGTGGATCCTAATTTCCTAATGTGCCTTTTTCTTCGTAGTTCATGAGGGACTCTGCTCCATTTGTTTTATTGTACTGGTTGTCAAAAAAAAAAAAAAAAAAAAAAAAAAAAAAAAAAAAAAAAAAAAAAAAGGAACGTTCGGTTTTGCTAATTAATTTGCATAACACTATCGCTCGGCATGCTACTGTGTATATCAGCCTCATTGGCAATGCATTATTTAGTGTTTGTGTACATATATATACACTAGAAAAAAATATTTGGAAAATATTCCTTTTGACTTACCAGTCAGAGGCCCAGAAATGAGGTCACTGTACAGCATAGTGATTGGTCATAATGAAGGGCAGTATTGCACTGGCATACTGTACATAATAATACTGCACTGTATAATAAAGCAAGGCTGACTGTGCAGCGATGAAACTTGGTAAATTGTCTGCATTCAGCACTGCTCACCCCCACTACTTGCCAAGCTCCTCTTTGGAAGATATGGCGAGGCATTGTCACTCTTCAGACCTGCTGTGCAAAATTTGACCTGCAACCACACACGTCTGTGTGGAGGGCATAAACGTACATGTGACCACGTGCATGTGACCTTACATTCTGCTTGGACTTGTCACAAAGGACACACAATTCTCATCGGCAATTGAGCATTACCCAATGAATTGGTTCCGCATCCATGACTTGCAAATTGTTTATTCGTGATTGCCTGCGCCAGGTAAATCAATAGTGATGTGAAAATTATCCCCGTGAACTTAAAAAAGGTAATGCGTGAATATATATATATATATATATATATATATATATATATATATATATATATATATATATATATATATATATATATATATATATATATAGCAATAGTTGAATCAGGCTGATTTTCAAACTCGACCTGTATTTTATGAATATTCATCAGTTCTGAAAGTTTGGAGACATAAGGTAAAACGATGTTCTCTTTTTATTTGTATAACGGTGGATAAAATATGCTGAAAAAAAGAGAAAATGGAAAATGGTTAAATAAAGCTGATTTTTAACTCGACCTGTAATTTATGAATATTCATCAGTTCTGTACTGTAAGTTGAAAACAAAAGGTCAAACGGTTTTTCAGTTATCGTTTTAACACTGAAAATGCTCAGCAACGGCTGTATGTGATGGCTGTTTGTAAAGACATATCTGTCTGTACATAAAAAGGATAGGTCAGTAACATTTACACGTTTTCAATATATAGGTCTATTTAACATTTTTATTTTATTAAAAATGAGCTAGCGGGAGAATTTTTTCTCGCGGACCTTCCTGTTGTCCGCGGACCATACACGTTACTGTCCGGAACCGAGCAAATTTAGTAATGAATACCTATTACAAATAATCTCGAAATACGGACACTTATGCATTACATAAAGCACGTGCAGAATTGACCGCACCGTTCTCAACCCACACTGAAGTAAAAGTATAAATTGCACACTTGAGTTTGAGATAGGTCGCACGGAGTAACTAAATATCTCGGCTTTATTCGTCCCAAATGTACTCATATAATTTAAGCAAAGGTTCTGAGCCTCCCTATGCCTCCAGTATATTGTGCATCGAGGGGAAAATTAAAATTCGGCGCCAAATTCATGAACTCCCAAGTTTGTTTAATTTTCTTTTAAAACATCAATTTTGTCTACGCACTCGAGATAACAATGACTTTCGGGAAAAATGGAAGCTGCTTACATGTAATAAATATTTATTTTGGTAATTAAGTATAATATACTACTTAAAATAAAGACAACATAGTAAATTATTATATATCAATATCATAAATATCACAAACGAATGGAACAAAACACTTTGAACACTAAATGGATGAACTCTAATGACAAACTACTAGGAAATGTCTACGATTAAAATTTAAGTCGATCAACGAATTTTCCGGTCGGAACTTTTTAACTCCATTTAGGAGAAAACTGTACTTTTAAGAATGATTGATATTTCAAAGTATGATTCATTTTAAGTCACCAAAATGAAAATAATTGATTACAAAGAGTCATGGAAATAATCGACATACAAATTTCTTACAGAGAACGAAAACTTGATACAACTAGAGTTATAAGTGTAAAATATACAGGAACAACTTGGAAAAGAATTATGATAGCAATGAAAGTCTTCAACGTGAATATTTAACTATAAACATTTCATTTCAAAATCCCATTTTTCCTTTTAAAGCTCCTTGGGCGTTTATTAAACAATCGCTGCAAATCAATACCAACTTCTTTCAAAATTTCCAGTTTCGCTGTGAAGAGTTTAAGACATTGTACAAGCTGTTGTCTCATTCAAATTCATCCTTGGTATAAACTACTGACACATGAATATCGTCAACAATTTTTACATCTCCTGTTCAAGCATTCGTTCTTCAATGTACAATTCCCTCGGGTTTTTCAAGAATGCAGCCGATAGTCAAACTGTAGTCATCGATTAATATCTGTAAAATTTGGGCAAAGATACCAAAAAAGTACCAGCCTCTTTGACATTAGATATGGCCTGACTGTGTACATATTTTAAAGCTATAACCCTGTCCCTCCCCTGCCCCAATCCATAACTCCTCCTTCAACTTATTCACTTTTAAATAGCAGTTGTTCATCTAAAATACCATAAACCTTTGTGTTTCACGGAAACAAAAGAAACATTTATAATCAACATCGTGTTCTGTCTCTGTTAAATAAATATTTACTGAATACCTGATTAAAAATTAAAATAAATATTGAGTTTTAGGCAACCAAAGTAAATATGGCACTTGATTTTTTTTCAAGCATATTTGGGTTTTTACTTCCTTCAAGTAAGCTGTAAGATACATAAAGCTTCTATCCAAATGTATACTCATTTCAAAATCGCTCATGATTGCACTGGCTCTAAAAACAACTACCAAGCTCCTGAGGCTTTGAGAAAATAGTAATTATAACATTTTTAAACCCTCATAAACAGCCTACACTTTCTGGTGGTGGAAAAGTGGTTCAAAATTATCAGACAAGCTTCAATAACAGGCGACTTGTATTTGTTCTACTGTAACAGTTCCAGAGAACTCTGTTCACACAATTCTATGCAAGTCGGCACAGAGGCCAAGTTCTATAATTTGGGGGTATTCAATCAAAATAAACAGATCTGACTATCAATATTTCGACCAATTCTTATCTACATTCAAAGAAAGAAAACAAAACAAGTCACCAGGTCTATTAAGAGCAAGATTAAAACCCTCACATAAGGGTTATGTGAAAATGAATAATTTTGTCAGTTTTATTTAAGTTCCACCAAAATCCTAGTACATCATGATATCATTTACATCTTAAAGGTCCTTCTTACTTTTGGTAAATGATGCTACCTCGCGTATTGTGTCTTGATTTCTTCAAAGAGTTTAATGAGATTCTCTAAGCCCTTTAAATAACCTTTATCTGGTCCCCTGTGGACTGTGTTATCCTCTGTAAATCCTTCATGCGTTGTATGTGCAAAGTCAATCATACGGACATCCACCTTTGGCGGCCTGGGATGTTTGCTCCGTGGTTCTACATTGCACTTGTTACTAATGTTCTCTTTACTCAGGCTCTTTGGCTTCTCTGCGTTGATTTTTGATAGTGTATGGTGTTCGGCGCTGCAAGAAGATGGCAAAAGCAGCAACTGATCTTCATTGCTATCGTCACTGCCACTCGACGATCCCCGGGGTAATAAAACTGCTATCGTCCAATGATCTGCTTCTCTTTGGAGCCATTTCCCTCACCGGTGTGTTCTTCTTCATATCCGACGTGTGCTCTTTCCCATCATACATCAGTAAAAGTGAACTGGAATAGAAACGGAATGTGTCTTGCTTGGACAACATTTCATGGAACTGCAGCAGTCTCTCTATCATAGGGTCAATAATGTCCACTCTAAGTTTGTGCCCGTTGTGCAGGAACTGATAAAGCGTCTCTTTGAATCCCTCCACTGTAAGTCCACGCCCGTAGTATTTGTTTCTGCACACAAAGCTGAGGGAGTTGACCTGGTAAACCTGAGGAAAGAAACAATGAAAAGCATTCAAATCACCATCTGAAAAACATTAAGAAAAAGTACACTTTGAAAATAAACAAATCCTCTTTGTGTACTTTTTGATTTTTTGTGTACTCTGTCAAGTCAATCATTGTTATTGTTGAAACGGGTCACAAGGGGATGTCACAGTTGCCTTCACATCTATAATGTTCTAACTGACTGAGCCTACTTGAGATGTGTTGATATTCAATCAAGCATGAAATAAGAAACAAGTTTTTTTGGTTTCTTTTCATTTTTTTTTTAAATTCAGTAACCTCAAACATTACCTGCATTCCAGCCAGCCTTATGGCAAGGGATGCAGAAGTAGTGGCTGCACATTTGTCTATCTTCCGTTTCCTTTTTGTTTCGTTTTCCTCATCTCCATACTGTCGTGTTCCCATCTTTAAGTCTAGTATACAGGGATATTTGAACTCTGAGGACACGTTCTCCAACAAAATAAATTCTGCACATGAGTTAAGGTATATAAAGTCCATTTTTATCCTTTTTCATTTAAAAAAACTCAAAGCATTTGCAGAAATTTATATTGGGAATGGCATTATCTGATAGCTGTAAAATGTCAAAGTATGAAAAAATAAACAAAAAACAAACAAACAAAAAAAAAAAACAGCTTTTCCTCTTCATTTCCATTCAAAATTTAATACATTTCTCCTTTACATTTTACACAAATCATCTGTTTGTCCTTAATGCCAAAAATAGTTACTCCTGTACAATATATGGAAGTATGTACCTTTTCTAGAGAAACAAATTCGTAAACATTCCCCTTAATAGATGCACAGGCACATGTCCCTAAGGTGACCCAGCTCCTTTTATTCTCCTGCACTTAACCAAACAATGGCGAGACAGAATTTCAATCGCCACTCACTGAAGGAATGACAGTGCAGTCAAGCAGTCTATAAACACAACCCTAGCAATCAATGTTTGAGCCACAGAATCAACAAGGTGTCAAAACCTTGAGTTTAAAGTACGCCTAAAAATAATGTGAGGTGTTCTGGAGGGTGCCAAGTACAAGAGGGTAATAATGGGGTCATTGCTTTTTAGCTGTACTGTCTGGGTGATCTGGGTGACCCAATTCCATCTGTCTGCTCAGATCAGGAAGAAAGGACATGACAGCCTTCTGACACGTGATTATCACTGGGTTACAATTTCAACAAAAGACCCTTCTACTCCGATTCTTTATATCAGAGAGCAAGGATCTCACAGCTTTCTGACATGATTTCAAAAAATCATTCATTAAACAAAATAAAATAATTCACCTTAAAAAAGAAGACCTTTTTGATAACCATATTACTTTGATTAGACTGGGAAAAAACTTAAAATTGCATAAGGATACTGAATGTCCCAGATGGGCTGATGTTCTTCCACATCTTGGATAGTGTGCGCTTGTGACAGCGTAAACTCCATGGGTTGTGCCCTGCGTGTTCCACTAACTGGTCTGTGTTGTCCAATACTTCCACATCGCCTTCAAAGTCAATGCTTCCTGTTCTCCTCATACGAACCCTGAATGAGAGAGAGGCAAGTCACCAAAGTTAAAGTTGTGATATCCATGTTTAAAGTTTGTGGAGTCGTGACTTTCATTCATTGAACAATACCTCGTAACCAAACAATGACTGAATATGTCTGAATCCCCCCTCCTCAAAGATTTCATTTCTGGTGCACTTCAGGTGAAAAGTTTACTTAAGGGTAAGGCAATTACTCACTACACGTGAACAAAAATGAATAAACTGCATTTTCTTAAACATTGTTTTATAAATGATACCTGAAAACTAACCTGATGCATGCATTAACCTCATTGAATGTGGGGCTTATTAATAAGTCCTTATACTTTCTCTAATTCTGAACCCAATTCAATACAGTAATCAGAATCATGTTTGCTTCCTCCTATTAATTTACCTTCAGATATTCTCTCCCTTGCAGCTTTTTAAGATCATTGAGGTTACAATAAAAATAGCCTATATTCTGAGCAAAACACAACCAAGACCAACAGTATATAAGACTTAGTATGTCAAACTCCTCAACACTAAAACATGACACTACCAACCTTAATGCTTCTTTCCCATTCCCCTTAGACTGCTGCATGGGGAGTCTCCTCGTTTCAGAATCCTCTTCCTCCTCCTCCTCATCTGATTGGTCCTCACCTTCCCCACACGAGCCTGAGGATTCTTGTGCTTCTCTCCATAACCGTACCTTGTCATGGCAACCTGGTGGGTAACCTATTAGTGTCAGGTAACCCTTGCTGTCTTCATGGAAGGCAACCTCGATTGCACCTGTTATCATTGAAAAAATCTGTTAAGTTAAAAGTATACATCTTTTGCTTATAGTTTATATTTCATCTTTCTTACTAAAAAATGGTTTTACCTTAAGGAATAGGTTCTTTTATTCCTATGGCCTTATTAACTCGGGGGTCTCCTTTTGTAGAATAAACATCAATTGCAAAACTATTGAAAAATCTTGCATATTGATAATCAGATATTGATAAGAAAGGGCTAAAATTACGATTCTTGGAACAAGTCATATCTGTTATACTAAAAATCTCTAGTAACCTCATTCACTGTATGTAATAATGTGCTATCGCCTCATGTTATCCTTTGGCTATGATTGCAACTCAACATATGTCAAATCAATAAATGAAGTACAGATTATCTGACAAGATAATCTGATAAGATCAAGTTGATCCCATTGTCTTTGCAAAAATCAATCAGAATTGCACATACATTCTCAGAAAATCCCAAAAAAGATTTTCAAGGAATCCCAACCACACAAAGAAATACTTTAGCAAAAGAGGTCTGAAAATATACAGCTTGGATAGTCATTACTGCAATGAAGGTATGTGTTTGTTTGTTTAACCTGCTCTAGTGAAAGCAGGGTGACTCAAATACACCTGGTATGCCAGGGGAAAAGGGTTTTTCCAAAAAAACAACCACTCACTCATTCAAAGAAAGAAGCAATCTTTTTTAAATAATTTTCAGTACCCTTTTCAAAAAATCATGTTGACACCAAAGAACCAGAAAAGGTTCATGACAGGTAGTCATTAAAACATTTTTTAAACTTATATAATAACACAGTCTTTATCTGATTTATCTAAAAAAAAACCAGTTCTATGATGCAGGATGTGCATAGCTTAACACTGGATACAACTGTAAATATAATTCGAGTGCTGAGATATTCAAGTACCTGGCGACTCTGAATATCATAAAAATTGACACAGGTCATTAACAGGGCTATAAAAAATACTTGTACCTGCATAGAAAACAGCTGCAGCTCATCAAATAACTCTAATACTATATTTACACACATACCATCTGTTTATGATGCACCCATATTTCCAGCAATTGAACAGTGACCATAGCCATGTAGGAGCAGTCCCCTGCCAACAGTCCTACTACTGAATCTGTCACAGGTTTTTCCACAAATAAATAAAGAAATGAGCCTAGGATGGATTTAGCCACACCACAACTTTTTTCACCAGTGTTACAGAAACTGACAAATTCATAAACCTCAGAAGCAAAGTTTCAGTCTTGGGTTTAAATACTTTTCTGCATCTGTTCATAGCAGAATTAATTTTTTGTCAATTTCTGATTTTCTATTATCTTTTTCTTTCATTTTTCTTTCATTTTCATAGGCAAGGGTACAAGTTATAAATAAGAAATTGTGCTGCATTTGGTACCACTTGGACAGTACCAAATTCAACAGTGACACAGACACTTCCAAACCCACCTCTGTACCCTGGTGTGAATTCCTTCATCGCACTCGGCATGGTCTTATAGAAATGATGTTCCCTGGCAATAAGTGGTTTACATAGAGTTGTATCGTCAAACTTCAGCACACTGCTGGTTCCGCCCACCTGGTGAACATAAGGTTCCAGTGGCACCGGCTCCCAAATCTCCTTTACATCCATGATTCCTTCAGGCATTGGGGCCCACTGTGAAATAAATAAATATAACAGAATAAATAATTAATGAAAGAAAATAAGAAAAATACTGTTAGTTAACCACGACCATGACAACAACAATTTGCAAAGAACCTTAAATTGACAAACAAATTCACACACCTCAATTTAGTCAGGTATGATACGATGCTATACATGACATAACCCAACTACATGGACCTCACCAAACTAAGCTTCAATCACTTGACTACATACAAAGGGGTACACAAGAATAAACGAGGGGGGACAAGACATGACAATACAACACATGACAAATATATAAACAAAATCGTATGTTGACTGTGAAGTGTCAACAAAATTAAAACCAATTGTTTAGAAAATTTTGTGAACCCAAACATAACATCTAGTGCTTCTGTTCACTTTCACTGTGAAACCTCCAAGTGAAAATGTTGACCCGACTTCACTCAATTGATATCAACTTGTGGAACCAGTCTTCCAAAAAATGTATTTCTGGCTATCACTTAACCCACTTTTGTAGCCATTAACCGAACTTTCCTACTATGAATTGTACTTGTTGAACTCTCAGTGGCAATGGTTTCAACATGCCACAAAAGTAATGAGTGCTTTCTAAGATTGTATTCACACAGATTTTTAGATTGATCTATCGGGGAGTCTCACTAGATTGCTATCACCTTAGCCAGCTTAAATGTCTGTCCTGCCTACTAAAAGCTGTAAGGCGGTAATTAACTTTTGTGTGCGCTCGACTGACAGCAATTTAGTGTGAACCCCCAGGGAGTTAGGTTGATCCAGATGGATGGATACTTTTTCTCCATCATCTCATCTAGGCAAATAAACAGGTCCTCCACTATAGTAAGATTTAAAATGGTGATATTAACTGGTGGGAATACAAATCTAGTGAGTACTTCTTTGAGTTTCCTAGCACATAAATCCTAGGAACATAATAACATTAAAGGTTACTACTTAAGACATATATGCCATCTTACTAACAATCAATGCATTATCTCTATAAGGGGTGTTTCACTACTGTTCTACGACATTTGCAAAGAAAAAAATAAAGGGAATAGATGAGTCATATGCGTAAATTGTGCTTCTTAAGCCAGATCCTATCCCTCGCATACCAAACTTGTCTCTGCCCCCACTGCCCCAACCCCTCAAGGTGTTCTATTAATACGAAAACCATGTAACCAGGTGGGAAATACCTGTCAGAAACTACTGGAAGCTGTTTCATTCATTCCACAAACATCCAGAGTAAGCTACGTACACGTAGGTATTTGAACTAAAAGACGCAATCAAGGATTGCTCATCTCATGCTTGAATATTTTATGTTACAAATATAATAACAGAGTAAAGGTTTACCCATTCAATCCCAGTGAATATATTGTTCAGTTGTTCAATTTCTTATTATTTTAAAGCCTGAGGAAAATGAATGGCTTATGGACATATATGTTACCATTGCTGACAAAAAACCATGGTGAATTCTGCTATACTCTTGGCTCATGTAAAAATCTACTACTACCTTGTCTCCCAATAACACTGTTCTGAAACTGTTCACATCTTTAATTTGCACTCAAACTGAAGTCTGTGTATATTACTGGCAATTGCTTCGCAACTAGCAACAGAGTATTTATTTCCCCCAAGTAGAATCTTAATAAGAAAAATACATTATAATATACTCCAATTACAACTTTATAACAAAGAGGGCAGTCAGAACAAGTACAGTAGCTCCATGAACTAACACATCCATGGATCAAATATGGCCCACCCACTTAAAAGCAATCCCAACTTATGTCCTGATGGTCTTCCCGCCTCCATATGGACCTTCCTAGTAATTAAACCTTGGAGCCCACATTTAATCCGTTTATTGGCACCTATGGAGGCGAGGGATCAAAGGATTAGGTGGCTTGCTTTTAAGCGAGTTTGGCCACATTTAGTCCATATATCAGTTAGTCAAGAGATCATCTGTTCTGGTTGCAAACACATGCATCCAAACAGACCCTACCTTATCATTGCTTCTTTTGAAATAGACCTAAAACATAAGGAGTTAAAAATGTTCCCACATAGTTGTAAACCAAACGTGTTTATAGCTCATGCTTTAAAAATAATGGCCCTTGGGTTATCACTCCTGGCTTATCGAGCTTAAAATACTCTATCTGACCTTCATGTCAAAGGGACCTTAGGCATAAACAAATATGACCTATTTCAAGTTTATGAGCCTGAAACACAGATATGATACTGGCTTCCTAGAATACCACATGCCTTTCAAAAGGGCAACAAGCAATCTTTAGCTATCTGTGTGTGCTACTTCTGAGCTTCAGCCAGAATTTCACATTTTACCAAAAGATAAGGTCTTCTTTTTTATCAAACAAAAAGAAAACACTGTATCACTATTTTGGTAAAAAGAAGTTTTCTGGCAAGGCAAAATAATTCAAGCTTGCTTAACCAAAGCCATACAACTGTGTCTCAATTCATCAGCCATGTTCAGCCTGCAAGTATTGATCGTTTGACAGCATTTCAACCAGCTTCAGCTGTTGCATCACTTTACAAAGGAGAACTGCAGATCAATATACTGTTCATCCATAGGCAAATATTTATATATATGTGCACCAAGTAATGATTTTTAACAGCAGGTGTAGGTGGATTATAACCCTAGCATTATAGGTCATTTTTCTCTAAGATTTCTCCATACTTGAATGCATTATGTGTACAGCACTTTCGTTAAATTTGGAAAATGGCATCATCTGTTGTTAAAGTACCAACAAACCATCAATATGGCCATCAATGAACAACATGAAATCCAGATGATTATGTGAACCTAGAATGGGGTAGTGCTAGCAATTTTTTTCGCTTAGCCAAATTTGTCAATTTGTTATCCATATGGTTTAAATTTGACTAAAATTAGTCAAATCAAGTCCTTTTTATTTAGCCAATTTAAGTCAGTTTTAGCATTTGGCTAAATTGGCTTGTGTTAGTGCTACCCAAGATAGACCATCTGAACATGAATAAAGAATTTAGAAAGGTGTCATTGGAATTACTCTTATAATGAAAAGACATTTAATCATAACTTTTCCACAGCCAAATTGTGATAGCCCTACTTGGAATCCTAAATATATCATGTGATTGAACATTTTCTCATTTCAAAGATAGCTAGAGGGTACAAGTACCTTGTATTGTTGATACTTTTCAACAGCTGACATAATGAAATTATTCAGCAGGGTTTACTCTGTCATAAGACCTTGAGAAAGTCAGATGACAGATAGTGACACAGGGCAGTCATGATATACCTATGACTGAAAATAATACAGTGCATGTAGATTTAGCTATCAAATGTGCAGTCACAAGACAAAATATAAACAATGTTATCAGACATCTTTCTTGGGTGTCATATTCCACAAGCTATGGCTGACAAAACTGACAACTGTTGTGCCTCAAAACATCCATGCCACTATCTGATGCCTTCACTGAATATTTCAGTAAGTTCACTGAACTGCAGTTTGAAACTCAAATAGTATGACTCCAACTTCTTCCGTGAAAACCCTTTCACCTAAAAACCTGGAACCCCAACCAATATACAGTATAACTGCACATATTACAATTTGATTTTTCCACAAATATCCTAGCAATTGTGGTGTGGATTTTTTTTAAATCTTCTTTTCATTTAAAGTGTCTCATGAAATGATGAAGGAAAAGCAAATGAGACATGCGTTATAAATTTCTGATCCTATCATTTGACAAACAGTGACACTGCGCTCTCAGTTCTATCAGATGACTATCATCTGTGCCAGCCGAAATTTGCTTCACTGTGGCAGCGACTGTTATTTCATTTCGGAAACGAAGGGCTACTGATCTAATCCTCAATTTCTATCACTTATGAAAAGGCTGAAAAGTTAAAATACTTATTTACAGTATTAAACTGTATATTCCTCAATACCTAATAGAGTGATAATATGATATCTTTTTCTTTTCCTCAGAAAACAACTAAATGCTGTCATAGTATAAGTAACCGTAAACTGCTGTCAGTGTAATAATCAATAAACGTATACCGAAAGAACAACAAATAATTTCTAGAAGCTTACTGAAGACACTTACTAACCTCATTCGTCGTACTACATGAAATCCCGAGATTATCTCTATCTTACAGTACAAGATTAGATTGAGACGCAAGGACGGTAGTAAAGACTAAACATGTACGTATCGGAACCTCTTTCAGAGGGATAAATATTTTTTTCAACAGGCGTTAATGAACTCGAAGTGATTATATTTTTGTGTGGATGACAACTGTATGACAAAGAAAACACAAGTTCCATACTGTCACGTACCTTAATTCGTCTTACCTGATGATTAACTCATTAAACGTGTACTTTCTCAGTGGAAAAATACATGGCAGCAGATCACTGCCATCAATAGATTAATATAGCCAATCATCTCTAAGAACAGAAGGCACGTGACATGGCTATGCTGCGTTTCAAAGATAGATGGCAATACCGTCGAGGAACTCAAGATAAACTAGTCGATCAAAGCTTTAAAAGATATTTTTTAAAATATATTTACTTTAATTTTCAAAATAGTTTCAGCTCCATCTCAAATAAATTAGTTAATCATTAATTAGTCCATTAATCGATTGTTTAATCAGCCAGTCAGTTACTCAATGGATGAATGCAGGAGCGGATTTAGTTGGGGAAGGGGTGGGGGGGTCAGGGGCGTCGCCATTGAGAGGGGGGGGGGTCGGCTTCGCATCTGAACCCCCCCCCCTTCAAATAATCCTGGATCCTCCCCAGGAATGAGCGGACTCATTTGAATTTAAAAATCAGGGCCAGGAGTGCCAGAAAATAACAACAATAACAACAAAACGACGACAACAACAACAACAACAACAACAATAATTATAATAATAATAAAAGAAAAGAAAACGACAAAAATGTAAAACCAAATGATGGCACATACTTGCACTACACACTCTAAACTTAGCCATGCCAATTCATAATAGGGGCTTTATGTTTTGTTTAGCTACGGAGTTAAGTCGGAAACCGATCATTATCTCATACTAATTTGTGCAGTAGCTAAATTGACGCCGATGAATGATTGGCAATCCTATGTGCAGAAGTGTACGTGTGGGTGATAAGTAAAAACAAAAACTGGAAAAAAGTTTTCACCCTAAAATTGTACGCTTATTTTTAATTGCATAAATAATATTAATTAAGATACATGTAAGCAATTTATATTAAAGGAAGAGAAATAGTTATTTTGCCAAATGTGGGCATATAGGCCTATAATATATCCAACTACTTAAGCATGATTATAAAATGAATTCACTGTACAATATATGCTACAATACAATATGTAGCTGGCATGTTAACTGTACCTGTATGAAATAAGCAGGGCACGTGTCCTGTCAAAATGTACCCTATGAACCCTATATATGTCAATGGGGGCGGGGGTCCGCTTTAAATCCGCGGCCTGTCATTCCTAAAAACCGGACCCCCGTTCAAATAATCCTGGATCCACCCCTGATAGCTGTTACTCAGATGAGTGATCCACCGATAATTGTCAAATGAAAAAAAGTTTCGTTCAAATTATTCTCAGAAACTCGAATGTTTACCGGAAAATACAATCAAAACACAAAAAATATAATCAAAACAAAAAATTAAAAATTATACCTTAAATCAAATTACCTCAATTATTTTGAAATATTACAAATGGATTTTAAAATTTTATTCTGTGTAGAAAGTGAAGCTGTTTTCTACCTTTCAGTATTCAGCGATGTTTCTGTCGATTGCGCTGATGTGTCAAGATTTTTAACTTTACCATGATAATGCAATATAGTAAGGAGAGGCCAGACCAAATTGATAAGCTGGTTAACGAGCAGTGAATCTCTATATACAGGGGCCTTATATTTGTTATTTATTGATTTTTGATAAATAATATAGATAAGCTTTTGGATAGACTGGATTTTTCTTTACTTTCTTTCCCTTTTTTTATTTAAGTTGGAAGGATATAGGCCTATGTCAAATTCACATTATGAGCATAAAATAACAAGTGTTATTTTTCCTGGGGTCAGTTATAAAATTTCCCACTTACCAAACAAATGCATTTAACATGTAAAAAAAAAAGACATTTGTAAAACCAAAGATCGGTCGTAATGTTTTACCAACTTTAATGTAGATTTTTTAACTGAACTAAACTGCTCAGTGCGGTTGTGATGTCCTTGGTGCAGGTATCGTTTCGCAACTACTGCATTTACTGGAGATAGTTTGCGCACAACGAAGTGATTTGTATTTCACGATTTATACTTCCCCTATCAAGAAAAAATGAGGCATCATTCATTGATTTATGTGTATATTATATTTTTTGTTATTTCGCTTACAGATCTGACACGATCTACCACATTTAGAAGAATTTCGCCAGTTATGGATGTTCGTCTTTCATAGGAAGTTTACGCGCGCGTTAGTAACGAAACAACAATCGACATGGTGATGATGGCTGAGACAAGTATGTGAAAAAACTCCTTGCATCTCTTTGTGGTTCATCACTGACACATCACATAATCTGCATGTTCAACGCAGCGATGGTCAAGGAGAAACCTAATTCCATAAGAACATATGATGAAGATGGTTTTAGACGACGCGGCGCCTGTGTTTGCTTTAAGGACGAAAGCGAGGAAGAGGTGAGAAAATAAGTTGAGAAAATCAGCCAAGCTTAGGTCAGCTTATTTTATTCTTTAATTTTGATAACATTAATGGTTTGTGAGTTTGTTAAACGACTGGAATGTCTAGCTCTTTAATGGATGACCAAACTGATTTACACGCTGTTCTTTATATGTGGTATTGAATTCATGATCGTAATTTGTAGCGTCTCTCACTAACTTTAAATCTGAAGTGCTATCATGTAAGATCATGATGTTTTACATAATCGCTTTCCCTCTCTCACTCTCTCTCTCTCTCTCTCTCTCTCACACACACATATGCGCACACACGCACACACACTTAAGTGTTGGTTACATAACAACATTTATCTTTCAATGACAAAATGCTTGTCATATTATATGGGTACTCTAAACCCCCTTTACACTGGATGGTGTCATTTCTGCATCCTTTGTGCATCCATGAAACTGGCATCGCTGTGGTCGTAGAAAGGAGGCAAAAGCATTGCTTTTGTTGCAGAATGAATGCTCATTGATTGACAAGTTGTTTGCTTGTAAAATATTTTTTTACTCTCAAATGCGGCCATACTACGGGATGCAGAAAGGATGCTGTCCATTGTAAGGGGGGCTATACTGAAATAAGGAATATCTGTTTTATATTGATTAGATATACCCCCTAAATTTAAATGGAAGTAGATAATACACATTCCTTACCCTCGACCAGGGCCACAGATTGATTTTTCACTAGATATTCACAGATAATGTCTCTGGCTAAATTCATGACTAAGATAAACACATTTGGCACGATCAGATTTCATTTATATTTATAAAGTTCTTTAGAATTATTGCAGTGAATTACATCATTATATTGTCATGAAGGATAGTGCCGTCTGTATATAAACGTATATTGTTTTTTTTGGCTTGAACACACTTAATTTAATTTCCAACTGACGCTGATTTGTGAAGATATGCTGATATCAGTGATATGATAAATTTGGCAGTTACTGAGTAAGTGCTTTCACCCATCACAACCTTAATCCTGAATAGTTAAAGGTATTCAAAAGTTGTTTTAGATGTATCATATTTTTTTCTCAAACAAAAACTAATTCAAGTGTATAAATTATATTTTATTTTTAATTAAAAGATTTAAGGGAAATGCCAACATGCGAGTATGTAAGAAAGTGCATGCAGGTATGTGTACACACACACACACACACACACACACACACACACACACACACACACACACACACACACACACCCTGGTGTTGGTATTATGATAGGTTGCCTATTTATGTGGAGGTGTAGCAGAGGTTGACAAACTCTTATGAGTATGATGGCATTATCTTGCTTTGTTGAGGCCCAAAGAATTTTATGCAGACTTCACAAAAAGTTGTATTAGAGTCAATGCTTATACTAGGTTTATATTTTCTATAACTAGTAATTGAATATTTTGCCAACTACAGTGTGATCTGCAGCTTTGTAGGCTATTTATGTGGTTACAAACATACAGATGATACTGGATGGATCGACACTTAAAGTTATAGATCTACTTTGTAGATTTCTTTTCTCTTAGTCACTAGATAAATTTAAGTATGTTAAACATTCCAAAAAGTGCTTAATTTGCATCCTTGGAAGTTGGTGTAGTACATTACCAAAAATGCCTCCTGCCTCAATGGTGCCAAGGATTTTTGAAAGATACTAGCTTGCCTGGTTGGTGTTCTACCTGGCTACAGTGCTATTTAAAAGGGGTTTCCACATACAGGAATGAAAAATGTTTTAGCTCCAAAGGGATAATCTGGTGAGAAATCATACCCATAAAATTGAATCCAGAACTCTAATATATGTTTAAGTGCATGGAATATCTAGATTTACAGTGACAGAAGTTGAAAAATTACTGAATTTTGAATAAAATATTCAGTCTGAATGCCATTAACAGCCAGCATAGTTTATCTTTAGTGCGATTTTATTTTCATTAACAAAACATGAATGTTACTGAGTTGGATCATATTTTGGAAGCCATCTACACCACCTGGCCTATATCCCTGGAGTGGCTATTGATTAAAAATTAAATTTGTTAATATCTAGGAGACAGAAATTATTGAAAATTCGAAATGCATCTCATGTGATTAAAATAATAGGATGTCAAGGATAAAAGGTTGATGTACACACAAAAATGCTGACTGGTCATAATTTTGAATTCAAAAGAAAAGAGAGAGAGTTGGAAAGAAGCCAGGCAGAGAGAAAAATCTTGAAACGATGAAGAATAGAAACATATTGTGGAGAGCATATAATGCTTCCAGCGCCTTGCCTCCACTTCATTCTTTTGAATAAACGTTGTTTAAAAAAAAAAAAAAATAGAAACAAAATAATCACAAAATTTGATAAGGTTACAGATTTGCAAGCTTTCATTAGAAAACTCCACACAGTCTGATTTACCAATACTTTGGTCTAGATATGACCAGTAATTGAGCAATTGTAGAAAGTATTACATGGTGGTATTCGGTACAATATTAATATTCAATGTGATTATTCAATTCTGTTGTGAACAACAGTTATAATGAAACTATTAAAGTACTCAAGACTAGCAGCACAGGTAGTCTGACAGGTGTGTGATATTGTTTAGCAGGGGAAAACAATTCTGTATGTATATATATATATATGCCTTGAGCATCAATCTTTGACAGGCATATGAAGACATTATTATAGAGCTGTGCAGGTTGTTGTAAATCAACCATAGCCCAGGTTATTTAGTGTCTAATATATAACATCATACAGCACTTCATATATATATATATTTGCTGCTGAAGTGATATGCCAAAGGGCACCTATATGTTTGTCAATGTTCTAAACAAAGCAAAATGAGCTCTTGGGTCAGTAATGTGATGTATTGTAATGCACTGTTATGTAATGCAATGAAAAACATGTCAGTTCTACTTTTAAAAATTGACATAATTTTTAACACTGTCAGTTTGATTTTTTTTTTCATTTCAAAAATTTATGTGGTGCAGGTATTTTGTTAGACATTTAACCTTCCTTAAGGGAGGCACACCTGTATTCCAGATTTATTTGGCAACTTTCAGCATGTTTAAATGCCACTGACCGCTTATAAGTAAAGTTGTACCGAATGATTACATAGTAAATTTTTATCAGACCCGAGATAAAAGATTTGGCTAATGTCAGACTTAAAAGTTTACGTATCGCTGGGAAAAGGTCCAATTGAACAGAAAGTCCCTGGTTCTCTTCACCAATCTGGGTTTTGCAGTATTGTTTCCACTGATTCATGATTTATGCAATGCCTTATGGGAAAATCCTTTTAATCGTACATGAAGGAGTCTGTGGGCATATTGACGTGAAGATGAGACATATTCAAGTTCATTTCCGACAAAGTCAAAATGTGGTGTGATGCCTGAATTATCAAATTGATTTTTATGTTTTTGTAACAACATGTACATGTGTTACAGTCAACTTTTGTCTGATAGGTTATTGTTATAGACCAAACATAAAGTTACATAATCAGCATGCCAGTGTGTTACACACATCTTATATATGCTTTCTGAAATTTTTTAATTTGACTGGAAAATGGACTAATTTATGTCTGATTGACTTTGATCACCATGTTAAGCAATCTGGTCATCTGATGATGTCGATTTAACTATTTCAGTTTAGGTTGGTACACCTTTAAACACACTTCTAGACCATCTTTCTACCCATATTAATAAAATGGCAGATGAAGGTCTTTCTATTGTGTGCCCATCTTATAGTAATCTGTTTATAAACATAAATGAAGCCACTGATATAAAGGCACAATTTTTATTATAGTTGCTCGCATGTAGAGTATGGAGAAACATCCATTGTACCTGTCTTTTGTAAGTAAGTTCTGGCAGGTTAATTCTTACTTAGGTCAAGAGAAAGCAACAAGCTGTATGTGGTACGTAAGCATGAAGAAAATAAAACCAATAAAAGAGATTATAATACAATAATTATAGAAATCAACCACATTTCCTAAGTAGTTTTCTATGAAACATGAAACTAAACCAGCCCACAACTGTGATGGCATACTTAACTTTTACATAATATATTACAAGACAAAACTGTGCAGTTTATAATGGACTTAGTAAACTGTATGGTGAGCATGCTCGTGGAGCATTTATTAAGCAAAGTGCATACTTTGAAGGAGAGCAAGTATGTAGACAGACTCTTTCACTGTAATCAAATTGTAATGTTTAGGGTTTTTTTTCTTGAGAAAGACATTAAGAAGTGTAAAATTAAATAAGAATGAAGATTAAAAGTTATAAAACCATCAGAGCTTTGTTGTGAGTCAGTGGGCCTTGAAGTTTACACTGAATATACAACAGAAAACTTATTGAGTATACTCTGTTTATTTGAATGAACTCTACACAGGTTATTGGCAAATTAAACTTCGTGGTGTTCCACCTTTTCTGAAGTTTATTAAGAGTATTGTTATGTATTTTATTTTCTCATACACCAAAGAGGGTGTTTACTTGCGTTAGTATTCAGCCCATTCAGACAGGCCCAAAACAGCCGAACGTGGAAGGTTGGAACTGTTCAAAGAGCTCTCTTGTTTAAAACATGATGGATTAGTCGCTCAAAGGATAAGGCCCATTTATGATGATTTTTATTGAAATTCTGTAGAGGCAAAGTTCCAAAGGCCGCATTGCTCTAAGATGAAAGTAATTCAAGGTTACATTGTTTTTGCACCAGATTAATTTTGATTTGAAATATGAAACTACTAACTTTTGAAAATTTTACTGTTCAGATCAATTTGCTAATGTACAGTCGAGTCTTATGTGCATGGTCTTTATTATTCCTACATAAAGACCTTTTTTTTCCTAATTGACAGATGTTTATAACCATCACAGTAAGATATAAAAAAATAAAAAAATTGATCTGTCTTTGGGTGTTTTGTAAATCTGTTTATATCATCATAGACCGTAACATGTAATCTCACTGTTTGCTTTTCTTTTCAGGGTTAAAATGCACACATACTCTTTTCATGTTTTACCACACTCTAAACTGGTATGGCTTCTTGAGGTTACAAAAAAAGCCTGCATGATTTTCACGTAGGTTGCATTGAGAATGGCTTGGTGTAATGCAATAGTACAGTTCAACAGGGAGTGCTGGCCATCTGTCAAAAGGCACAGGGAATTGTGAGAGAACTTTGTGAGGACATGCAGTGAAAGAAAATGGCATAATAAGTCAAGACAGCACTGAGTTAATGAGATTTCTAGTCACAGCCTCCCCCCCCCCCCCTCTTCCCCTTATTCCCCTTCTTGATTAACCCATGCCATAAGCTGTAGGTGTGCACACAACTTGTTGATGAGTGGAGATGATTCTAAGCACTGTAGTATCCTTAGCTCACAGGGCTGCATTCCAGTGAAATCTAGTGAAATCAATAAAGTTCTTATTAGGTCCAATTCAGAATCAGTCTATTTATCTCCTCCAAGTGTTGTTCCAGGTAAATTTTCTTCGCGAGACCCACCTCATCGAAACCAAAATAAAAGCCCCAATCTAAATCTGCTAGCTCTTGGCTGTAGTCCAATATATTTGTAATGTGCAGAACTGAACTAAGCCAGTACCTATGATTTATCAATAATTAAATGTGTGGTGTCTGTATAAAAAGACCGTTGTGTAGGTTTATTATTCATCAGTGAAAATCAAAGCAAATGTGCATACTGCTGATAATTCTGAGAAGTATTTGCACTTTTAACTTGGGAAATCTTCTTTTATGGAGAACATTTAAACCAGTTTCTGAAGAAAATGACATTGAAATTAGTCATGAATGCTAAATATAATGCAGATCTCGGTAATGACAGAAAGTGCAGGGACGAGTATTCTGCATTTTCTTTTTCAAATCTGAATCAAAGATAGTTGGTGAAAAGAATGACTGACCTTTGAGCCACTGGCACATGTAACTGCAGGTGTAAAATGAAAGAAAATGTCAACAGTCTGTCTGGAGAAAACTGAACTAACTATTCGCAAAATGTTAAACTTTCAGCAAGTAAGACTGTCATATTTGAGTAATATTTAATCCAGATTTGAGGAAAGAGGGAATTTAATATCGTCTTGTTTTGGGTTCGGGATAGGAAACTGAAATCTCATTCTCCCCAGAACAAGGTGCAGAACGACCGATCTCGCAGGATGTAAGAGGTCATAATAGCGTAATAAAAATATTCAGTTCTCATGAACACCTTTCAGCACTTTTCATTGACATTTCCTTTCAAATGCCAGCTGGTATATAAGTAGAGGTAGAGGATTCATCTTGTTGTCTGGCCCACCCAGATATATCTTGTCAGGCCACCATGACATCATCGACATATTTGGACACTATGCAGATTTTGATAACCCTTTTTTACAGCAAGATACACTCAATGTGCATACTTTTTATTTGAGTCAGAAGTTTAAATAAGACTTGTCAGTAATGTCAACCTAGTTCAAATAAGTAAGAGTAATTAAGAATTATGCCAGATGTAGCTACTTGGTATATTTTCACAAGACATAATGTACATGGTATCCGTGCATGATGACATCATCTGACATAATGTAAATTGTGGTAACCCTTAGGTACAAGTCATTTCCGTTGCATGTTTTTTGTCCAATTAGCAAACAAACAAACAAGCATAGATAAATAAATTGTGAAATTAATTAAAATTTTTAGATACTACTTACTTGTAACAAGATATGTCAGAAAATTCAACCAAGTTTTAGAAAAAAATGCAAAAATTCAATGAAATATTTTCATTCACTTAATTTGATGTATGCAAATTTTAGTTACGAAATGTCTGTATTATTTTACTTGCATAAACCCAGGGTACCTGCAAGGCCATACCAATCTGAAAGCTTAGGCATCCTAGCTACTAATGGAGAAATACAACATTGATTAATTGGACCATAAACCATACTATTCCATTTGTTTTGTATTGGCTTTTTTTTTTAGTAGTTGTTGTTGCCTGTTGTTGCCTAAATTGATAATGGTAGTGATTTAGCTTTACTTATTATGCTGTGGGGATTTTTTCTTGTTCAGGAAGAGATGGTAGAATATCCCCTATAGCATGAAGTCATCTATTTTTCTTGTTAACTGTAAAATCTCCATTCTCATTTTAATCGGTAGTTTTAGTAGTATAGCAGTCAGATTTTTCCCACCTAATTAAAAACTTTCCCTCTGACACTCGCAAATCTAATCTTTAACATGGTAGCTGGATTTCTCCACCTTTCACGAAAGTTGTACAGGATTGACATCATGAAACCTTTTTATGTCAAATGGAAATAAATGGATGCAGCAAAACTAACAGATACTGTTGAAACAGTCAGATGTATTTGGCCAAATCATCAATATTTGTCTACGGCAGTGTGGAAAGTTTTCAGGATTATTAACATGCTGAAAGCAAAGCTGGCTTATTATTGAACAGCTAAAATTTTGTCCATGCAGATCAGATTTGCTCTGATTTATATGTGGAGTATTCACTGGTTTAATATTTTTCTTACATTTATTATATGGAATAGCTATGATGATGCTGAAATATATTGAATAACCTTGCTTTTGCTGTCTTCCTCTTGCTCTACCATATTTTAAGAATTTGTTCCCTAAAATGAAAACATCCCACCATGTATGAAATTTTAGACATGCATCAATGGCTTATGTAAATAGCCTCAAAGAAAAGGCCAAATGTAATCAATTCTGTGTCATTAACATATAGAATATATCTAGATTTCACTGGCAGTACTTAAGAGTTAAATTTTAGAAATGCACCAACATGTGGTTAAGTATTCTATGTTTGAAAAGAAAATTCGTACTTAACGATTGAAATACGACAAATGTAATCCAAAATGATAATGGCATATGTAGTATATATGTCTCCTGTTTGTCATTCATTTGTTTTAAATTCAGGATCTATTGTTAGTCATAGAATTTATGTACTATGTCTTTCTTGTTTTCTATCTAATAATTCCTTAATATGAAATCAAAGAGGTGTTGTGCTGCCACACCGCACATTAAGCTTTTCCATTCTTTTCTGTTTTGTGCCAAAGCCTGGGTTTGGGTGTGTCCATTCTACAGTAGGTCTTTAATGTCATTGTTCCATAGCTACATGTCACACTTTCAAATGTGGCTTGGAGCATTACATTCTGAAAACTGATCTTATCATATTTCTGTACCATCAGAGCTTTCTTTACCTCTATGAGAAGGTTGTCACATTGTGAATCTTGATGGTTTTTATTATTGATTTGGTTGTAATAAATATCTAAAGTAAAGACACAAAGATGTATATCTACGCATTTATGAAATGCACCATTTGGACTAAAATGACTTCAGTAGCACTTTATATCAGTAGATAATGCAATAAATATAAAGGACATGTATTTATAAATTTGCATCTCTCCCCCCCCCCCCCAACAAACACACACACACACACACACACACACACACACATTTTATGATCACATAACTTTCAGGTGATATACATTTTATAAAAATGATTTTCCTGTGGTGCCCCTAATAGTTCTATAGTTGGAAGCAACTCGCATTACCCCCAAAAATCATAAAATTAATGCAGTCATATAAAAGAGCAAAAATTCAATAAAAAATCTTAACAATGTTATGAATTACAAGACCTACTTTTTTGTTCTCAGGTGTTATTGGTAACCAGTAAGAAGAGTCCAGACCTTTGGGTGGTCCCTGGGGGTGGCATAGAGCCAACAGAAGACCCCAGGGTAGCAGCAGAGAGGGAGTGTTTTGAGGAGGCAGGAGTGAAGGGGGCTGTGAAGAGGAAACTAGGTGTTTTTGAGGTACGTATCTAGCTGCCATTACATACAAATAGATGGTGTAATGTGATGAGAATAAGCAAACAAAGTTTCAGCATAGAGAATGCAGTCAGACTAGTTGATTGTATTACATCTTGTGGAAATTCAACAGGTACAAGCGTGCAGGTTGGTTACCAGTATCAATGGTAAAGGTCATAAAAGTGATCAGGTGAGTGGCATGCCACCTCCAGTCATGAATCTATAGTATGCTTTGTTCACTCAGGTGGCATACTGCTGGGCTGGTGACTTTTTGATTACTCCATTATATCAATAATCACCAGCAGAACAATTCAGAATCTGCTTTGTTTTCTGTTGGTGTGTACATGGTGATATACTCACTCTGTGTGTGAACTCTGGTGTGCTTCACAGTAAGGCTTCGTTCACATGCAATGTCTATTTTCTAAATTCTATTTTCTATTTGCGGTATGTCTTATGATCACGGTCTGTGGCCTGAATATCCCGTGGCGTAATTACTGGCAGCGCGAGCCAGTTACTATAAGTTACTATAAGTAACTGGCTCGCGCTGCCAGTAATTACGCGGCGGGATATTCAGGGCACAGACCGTGATCATAAGATAGCGCAAATAGAAATTAGAAAATAGACATTGCATGTGAACGAAGCCTAACACTGGTCCAAGTAAACTGAAAATTACTTGTCTGCTGTTTTTACCTGTAGTAAACTGAAGTGGTATCCCATTTAAGTTTTCAAAGTGAGGGATTTTTCCTGATCATGTCATTGCACATCAAAACTCTTGATGTATAAAAGGTGTGTGTAAAGGTGTTCTTTTAAGTCATGTTTAAATCACTTGCTAAGCAGTGTTATTTTTCCAGGGTAGGTATCTTTGGATCATACATATTGGACTCTTCAGTTTACATGAACGCCTCCTTTTTGCCAGTTTGTCTCTCATTAATGTGATTGATGATTATAAGTGTAATTCATACACCATATTGCAGAAATGAAAAGAAATATTTTTCATTTGTGAGGTTATATTTCAAATTTTGTTTGTTATATATTTATTTTTATCAGTGTTACCTAGTGTTCCTTTATTACAAAGTTTTAGACAGTGACAGAAAACAAATTACCAGCTAGCAGAAGGAGCATTTTATTCATAAGCATATTAGATTTTTCCCATTACAGTACTTCTGATCTTTTCACCTTAGCAGTGACATGTGAATTTCATGCATACTATAAAGTATATTTCTTGGTCAATGGAATGTCTAAAAGCACTCTGCTTCTATTTGATTAGTGATATATAGTATAGTCATCTTTTTTACCAAAAGGGTAATATCACATTTGGGAAATACAATATGGGATGAACTAGTTTCACTTGCACCATTAGCTTAAATTTAAGCTAAAGCCCCGGGATTCTAGAACATATAGTTGATGGTTAATATAATATTTTAGAAGTTCAGTTGAAAAGAAACTTGGCATTACAGTCAATGTATGTTGTCTGTTGAACTTAATTTTTGCATCCCAAACTTAGCTGAAGTTAAGCCTTGGTGTTTTTGGATTTAAGTAAATGCCAGTTGGGGCTCATTCCTCTTGAAACTGTCGGTCTGAACATAGATTGCTCTAACTCCGTCAGAAACACTCGTGAACAGCATTAAACACCAGATTAATAGGCCTCCTCCTGGTGTTGAATACAATTTGGAAAAGCTGGCAATTACTAGTATACAAGTATGTTGGAAACATGATTGCATTCAGCAGGAGTCCCTGTGGAGTGGGAGGGATCTACGTACACTGATATTCGCAATGGGAATAAGCCCCTAGACATATCATTTGTTTTAGGAACCAGTTTCAACCAGAAGTTGGTAAAGAGAAATGCAATTAAACTGCCTTTTATTTCTCCCATGAGAGGTTTGATCACCTGGAACAGTCGATTCCATTCATTTAAGATAACACTGACTTGTCCGTTTAGTCTTCCAAATGAGACAGCAGTAGTAGAAGGAGGAAAAGCCTGCTTACAAACAACTGGGTGTTCAAGAGGGATTCTGTATATACTTAAGTTGTTCTCAGGGTCATGTCTGTTTACTTTTTTTCTTTAAAACCTTCTTTCTTTTGCAATGGAAATGCTCCTGAGGAATGTATTTTCTCACAGAAGACTGAAGAACTTCTAAAGTTTGTGTGGATAACTTGTCTGTTTAATTGAAATAATTTGTGAAGATGTGGTTTTATGTTCTCATCGGTTCTTTATAGTCATCTTCAAGACAGTTTTTGCAGAAATATGTTTAAGTTTTAAACTTCAGGAAAAAGATACATGATCACAAACTACTTCCCTCTCTCCCCCATTTGCATTCCTTACACAAAATCCGTCATCCATTTTATTAAGAATATTCAGAACTATAGAGGGCTGACAGAACCATGGGGTATACTCAAATGTCAATTTCCTGAAGTTGAAGCTAAAACAGATTTTGTTCGATGTCTCCTGAGCACAACATTTTCTTCCCCAAAGCTAGATAAAGAGGGGATTGTCTATCTATAGAAGCCCTTTTGCATAACGTTCTGTTCTACCTCAGAAAGGATGCGTACAAGAATGTAAACACAATAATGGTTCTCTTTTGTGGTAAAGAATGCCTGAAAATATATCCTTCTCCTAGCCTTTTCCTGTCCCTAAACGAGGGCCTTCTTTTAAATGGTAAATTGATGTTCCTATTCTGAGATTTGTGTGACCTTATCACATACTGTCATTGTGTCCTGAAGGATGTCACTTTAGTAATCCTAAGCTTTAGGATCATTGCGTATTATTTGACACAGTGACTTGTGGTAGATACCAAATGTGGGGCTGCTTTGTAATTTGACAGGGATAAAAACTAACCATGAATGTGACTTTACTCACGTTGGCTTTTTAAAAAAGTTGCTCCAATTTTAAAGTAATTGCATTGTGATATAATGCACTTAAAGGGACCATGTATAAGATTGTCTTTTCTGTAGTATTTTAAAATTTTATTTGTGGGTAGCTAAGAGTTAAATAATGAAATAATTTCAGTTCTCCAGAATAGAATTTTATAAATTTTAATGTGGAGTGAAATGGGAGGAATATGTGTAATAGTTCACTTGGACAAGTTAAAAATAATGGAAGTATATTCATCGGATATGTCTGAGTTTGGAACTAGATAAAGTACTAAAAGATCATGGAGGTCCCATGGAAGTTTTGCTCACTTAATTTTTTGCATACAAATCCCATGTTCCTTTAACCACATTCTTTGTTAATGGACCATTGGGAGGATATCAATTAGACTGTTTGTGTGAAGGCCACTAGTGGCTAACTGATAAAAAAATCCCCATTGGTAATCTACTGTACATGTTGTCAAACGTTACATCCATGCCTCCAGTTCTTTGGTCCCTTAAGGTTCCATGAATATCCATGTCTTTTCTTTATGTAGACAAAACTGTTTTGGGTTATTGTGTATGGATATCTGGTTTATCACTTTAAAGATGTTCAAAGATTTAGTTGGAAGGAATCCATCCCAAAAGGTCTCAGTATGTGAATGTACAGCCATAATGGTCTCTGGGTAGTTTGGTTTTGGGCTCCAGATGGCTTGGAGGGCAGTTTAGGGAAAATGAATTTGTGAAAAATACATAGTTCTATGGATCTGCTTAGTAATGGTATACAGTCACTGAGTGTAAAGGATTTAATTTTTCAAGTTTGCCCTTGGGTATTGGAAAAGGATTTTGTAAGAAATATCTTAACTGATATAGACCCACCCATATTATTGTTCTTTGGGTCCCCCTGTGCTGGACATATTAAATGACCTAACATTTTTTTTTTCAGGACTGGGGATGGTGGATTGTGCTCTTTTGAAAAATACAAATGAAAAGTGTGAAAGGGGGAAAAATGGCCAAGAAACCAAATCATTTGGCACTGATGACCCCTTGGCATGTTTCCATCTTCAACCCCAATAGTCAAATGAATCTCACTTGTATGTAATCATTGCATCTGAATAAAGGCATTTTCATTTCCAGTCCATCTTGAACCGGGATTGTGTTTGGGAAGTTATCATTTCCTTGCCGAGATGTTCAGGGATTTCATGCAACAAAAGGCACACTATTGTATTACTTGGAGTTCATAGAAGTAGGGTTATGGCAGGAAATTAAGATATCTTTTTATGATATTAAGGATGGAAATTGTCCTTTTTTTATGAGTGAAGAGAAGTTATGGGAGATTTGTTTAGTTATTAGTATTATGAAACATATTTATTTATTTATTTATGTTTGATAAGATGTTTTGAAACAAATAGTTTTTCCAGCAGAATAAAGTTTTTAAAGGGCTTTAGCTCAGTAGTTTGTGGCTCCTACTGGTTATAGACAGCATGTCAGGAACCACAGTATAGAAAAAGTACTAATTACACTTTTTCTGTACTGTGGTTCCTGACAAGCAGTGACAGATAATGCGGTCTCCCATCCCAACCCAACTTTAAACTGGGTACTGCACATTAAAAAAGCTCTCTTTGCCTGTGTGACTTGTATAACCCCTCTGTTGCAGCATCTTTTAAGATTAAAATGAATTTGTGCAAGATTATTTCAGATTAAAGTATCAGATTTCATAAGGCACCAGTTATTGAATAGAGGGAAATAGAAATAGGAACAAAATCAAATGTCATTTCCTTAAACATCATGAAAATTTAAAGTTTATTGGGATGACAACAGCACCAACAACACTTTTTCCATGTGGTTTTCCATTACTGGTAAATTTACAAGCATAGATATGTATTATGCAACGCTGTGACTTATTACACAGTATCGATTACAGTGTTTGGATTTTGGTACCTGGAGCTGAATTCAAATGAGAAATCAGCCATGTGTTTATATTTATTCAGAACCTGATCTAAAGGTAAATGAGTATTGAATAACACCTCCAGCGAGTGTCCTGTATGTAGTGCTCCAGGCACAATTAAACGTAACAAAAAGAAAAAAAAATTATCTTGGTGTAAACATGAGTTACCTCTGGAGCTACCTCACAAGTGAGGAATATTGACCGTACATCTTCAATTTTCTCAGTCGATATGGCTGAAAATATTTTTGGGTATTTGGCCGAGATAAGTTATGGTATTAGTGAGTTCAGGTATTGGAAAAGAATCTCATCAATGTGGTACTACTTGCTCTAGTACATGTAGGAGGGTAGCACAGAGTTTTGAGCAGGTTTCGGGCTCATTGAAATCCAAATGCATTAGGCTGGCAAGCATTCAATCACAACATTGTTATCAGGTGAGGAGTAAAATGTCAACAATTTATTAGAAAGCAAAGTGGGGGAAAGGTAAAAGTAGAGAGAGAGCTCCCCGTTTTTGAATTGCTCAGTGGCATTTGTGCTGGTTTAGAGTGATTGTTGGTAAAAGCAAGGGCGGTAGTCCTTTGCTGTCTTATGTCAAGGATATCCTGTACAAGACAAGACTACATTTTTCAAGATGCCTATGTACACAGAAAAGTGGAAAGTTTGTTGCATTACTCTTATATAGGATTGTTCTAAACTTTGTTAAAAAGATAAAGATAATAAAAAAAAGGAAAAGAAAAGAAAAGAATAAATGCTGTAGTTTGGAATTTGATTATTGCAAATTTTGGTATATGGAAGCACAATATTAGGCTTATAAGATATCAGTGAAACCACCTGTAGTGGTAATAATATGAGACAGGTGTAGATAAACAAGATGGTGTTATTAAATAAACCATAATAGATTAGATTGGAGGGGGGGGAGATAATGTGGAAAATAAAGAATATGATAGAATTTCATTTTTTTTTTAATTTAAAAATGTCAATAAATTCACTTTGTAAACCAGGATATCAATCAAAATATTAACCTCTTAAGTGAATTGCAGGGAGAATGTATTACCAATTACGGGAAGCTTGAAATGACTGGCTATTGGCTATTGGCACTAAGGCACTGATATTATTGATGTAGAAAAATGCCAGGATGCAGACTAAACAAGGACAGTCACCATTTTGCCAGTGAAAGTATATTGATGCTCTGGCTTTTGCTTTGACAACCTGGCTTGTCATGTTTGGCCAATTTTTATAGTATTAATATTTAATATTAATATATTAAATATATTAATATTTGATATATTTATAAATTTGTCCTTGCCCAACTAAGGCCAGGGGAAAAATGATCTGTCATTAATGGTGTTTAGATTTATCATTATCATACACTTGCAACAAATTACTTTCTGACAAAAAGAAAAAAAAATTGAATCATTATTTTAATGAATTAGAGAGAAAATTATAAATTCATGCTGGTTTGCGTTATTGAATAATTACCGTAGGGTGCATAGCCACATTAATGTCAGTGTTGAATTGGAATTCATAGAAGTTGAAGGTTCTTTACCCTGACATTTGATAGTACCACCTTGCCATACTGAGGGAATTGCATGAGCAGCTTTCTCATGTGTAACCTGTACCTCATGCTCGAAATTAGTCTGCCATTTGTATTCGTTGAACAAGTTGCGATTATAAGAAGAATGTTATAATGTCTGTATTTGTAAAACATTTGCCAAATGCTTAGGATGATTTATTTTTGGTTGGTTGGCTAAAGATATGAAAAATATCTGATTGTCATTAGGGCTTTCCTTTTGAGATTATTTATTGATTTGATAGAAACTTGAATTAATGACTAAAACCAATAGCTTTCAAGAATTTCTATTTTTACATGGATACTCCTGAAGCCACCACTTCTTAAGATTGATAATCATTTTTGGGGGGTGTGGTGGTGGAAAGAGGGGGGTGGGGGGTGTTACTAATAACTGATTCCCTTAAAAAAGTTAAATTTAACTTGATATCTATACTTTTGAGAGGTATATGTATTATCTATCAAGGAATTAGATATCTAATGTATGTTTGATTTTTTTAGGTCTCTGCAAAAACTCCTTGGATTGAATTTAGGAACAGAGGAACAGAAAACACATCCAGTGCCATGATTAATTTTATTAAACTATGAATATTTAACAATCTTGGCAACAGTCAAGTGCTTTACTCCTAATGGAAGCAGGCAAGGTGTTCTTGACTGAAAGGTGGAGAATGTATGAAAACACACACATGGAGGAAGATGAATGTGAGGGTGTATGCGCGCGCGCGCGCGCACACACACACACACACACATGCACACACATTCACACTTGTTCATAATCCTTATATGTATGTGTCATCACACACCTCAGCGGAACTTGGATGTTTTCAGATTTAAAAGAGTGGGAATGAGAGGGGAGCTGGGAATGGAAGACACTGGCCAAAAGGGTTCAGATAGGCAAATACGTTAATGTGTGGGTTAATGATTTTAGACCAAGGCTCTGTGTTCATGACACAAATATTCATAGCACTTAATACACGATACATCAGAATTAAAATTGAGATCATCATCATCAGTTTCTGTGCTGCATGAAATAAAGCAGTCGCAATCCAGTTTGGTTTTGCGAACTTTTACGTTAGTAAACCCCAGACACCAATTAAGCATGGAATTCGGATTTTCTAGGTAAGGATACAAGTGTGCTTGTTGCCATGGAAAGGTCTTGTTTTCTAGTGTCATACTGTCATATTTCATATGAAAAAAATATTATTCAAACCAGATTCATTTCATGATATATCTGTGTATGCCTTGTGAAAGTATAGTGTTCATTTACCAGAGCCATGAGAAATTTGGACAATGTTCAGATGTTTAGATTATCAGGAAAATGTATGTTATAATGGTTCTTTTCTCAAATTAGCCATTGATTCGACTATCCATAATTTCACTCAATTTGACTAATTTGATTCGTGAGAGAGGCAAGAGAGATAATTAGTACTGTCAGCCAATTGGACGAATTAAGACAATTATGTTGCCCTCATGGCTGCGTATGATGTTCTTATTGGTGAATTTGAACATTACGCAGGTCAATAACCAGAAAATATCTCAAAAATGCGTTCATATGCAAGAAAACGGTGAAATTATTTCCTGAATTAGCTGCAACTGGAGCAATCATTGCAGCCACTGGGATTTCAGCACTAAGGAATGAAACAAGTAAACAAACAGCAACAGCATAAAACAAATAATGTATATATCTATACAAATTGTCCAAAAAGGTGTTAGTTTAGGTATTTTCTATACAAAACTTAAAACCATTTGTTCCCAGGTATCTCGGTGGTAGCCCAGCAGACGAGAGCTAAAACGTAAACCAAGATGGCCACTGAGGAGAGCGGGGGGGCAGACACTACTGCCAAGCCAATAGATGAACAATCCTAGAAATTATTTATGTAATCAAGTGAAGAAATGTGTGAGTTAGGTTTTCATTTGGCACAGAAGAGGTTAAATTGATCATGGATAGTCAGTATAACGAAGAAAGATGATTATATTTTCTCCCCACAGCAATGCCTGCATGGACAAAATCTCTAGAGGACTGCCACACAGACGATGATGATTGCTTGCTTTTAAATGGGTTCACAGGATTTTATTTAATTTCTGTGATTCCCTGGTTACCGGTCAAGGTTCCATGATTCCATTACCTTACTGAACTTGACCTTCACTGGCTTCAGTAACCCATATGAGTAGACTTTGTCATTGTTGTTTATTTACTGTGACCTATAATAAATGCTGCTTTAATATTGCCTTTGTTTATTTATGATAGTAAGAAAAGCGATATAAAATTTTAACAGGCTGATCCCTTAAGTAGTGCATCTATTCTTGATACAGCTTCTGTGTGATTTAGCCTGCAGGACATAATCTCAGTCTCTTAAAATTTCCACAAATGCACGTAATCTTCTTATACGTGTGTGCTCTCACATGCTGTCTTATTTTTTTATACCCCAGGAGACGTTGAGAACAAAATGCCTAGTTTCTGTACATAGCTTGAATGCAGGTGCACCATGTATGAATGTGAACTACACCAGTTCTGAGTGGTTAATCATGTAAAATAAGTCATGTAACATTACTTACATCATTAACTTTGGCTGATTTTATTTCTGAGAATATGCAATATCTTACTCTGTAGATGTACATGCATCTAAATATAACCAAATGGGAAGCAAATGTACCTAACATCTATGTCATTAAGCCATGGCACGTTACCAGCCATTTTTAGGTGGATTGGTGAAGAATGTTTGCCATAGCTTTAAAAGAAAAACTAACACCCCAAATAGCAGTCTGTAGAGGGATAACATTATATGTAAGCGCAGGATGATAATTGTTTTGAGACTTGGTTGTTGTTGATCTTTCACTTTCGTCATTTATTATTGTCTGTGCTATCAACTATACTCACTGTGGTTTAAGTTTGAAATAGTTTTGATGATAAAGTGTATGGAATATCAGTCATAACAGAGGTTTTAGCCTTCGCCGTTAACAAATCATGGTGTAAGAAGATCATAATGTTATTGATAGTAAAATGTATGAAATCTCAGTTATGTCAGGATGTTATTGCTTTCCCTATCAGTAAACCAAGAAGATGAATGTTACATTGATGGTAAAATGTCTGAAATGCCATGTTTTGTGTACATGTTCACTACGGGTTAGTCAGTGCATAACAACTAGTTGTAATGTCACACTTGGTTGATAGGGAGTTACGAGAGTCCTTTCTGTGTACCTTATCATAAACCTTGACTGGCTGTATTTTTTTTTATCTTGTCAGGCATTTGATGTAGTGCAAATCCATATCGTTCTATTTTTTATGGAGATTCAATCCCTGAATGGAAAATGCGTTATCGTGATTATCCATGAGCAGATGGGGTTTTAAATTGGCAGTTTTCCTGCTTTCAAGTACAATCTAAGCTGAATACCTTTTACATTTGTTCCTCTTTTTTTCAGCAAAAATTATACTGTAGGATTAAGTGGAGATTTTATCTTGACAAGTTTTATCCCTGTTTTCTAATTTGGTTGAATCTACAGCGTTCAGCAGCAATGTTTTTTGGTCGACAGATTGTGTTGCGTGTTCCTGTTAGTGGTAACAAAGGTTTCTCACCTCTACTACATTTCAGAATAAAGACAGAAAACACAGAACGTATGTGTTTGTACTTCATGTTGAAGAGATGGTAGACCACTGGGAGGAGAAGACATCATTAGGTAGACCAATTTATTTATTTATTTATTTATTTATTTATTTATTTATTTATTTAATGTTTGCCCAAGTGAAATCTGGCTCTGAAGTCGAGGGGTTGAATTCTCAAGAGGAAAGTATGTTCTGAGTTCTTTGATAATCTTGAAATTTGTCTCTTTCACACACAGTACACTCTTAGACTGGGTTCCCATGCCTAGATTGATCCATCTGGATCGGTCTAACTCCCTAAGGAGTCTCACTAAATTGTTATCAACTAAACCAGCTTAAATGTCTGTCACGCCTACCGAATCAGATAGGGTAAAGATTATTCCCCCCCTAACAGCTTTACTAGGCGTGCCAGACATTTAAGCCAGTTAAGTTGATAGCAATTTAGTGAGACTCCCTAGGAAGGTAGATCGATCTAAATATCTGTGGGAATGGTCCCTTAATGAACCAAGTAAGTACATACTTTGGCTTTTTTTCATCCAAATGTTCCCGTGAAATACACCACAGGCCTGAGCTTACTTGTGCCCCCATTTGGTGAGCCTTTCCATGCATACTAAAATTGGCCGAGTCGAATTCTAAATTCTGTCTTTGGAGTTCAGCCTCCTTGAAAGAGCTTGAGAGCCTCTTTTTCAGCATGGTTGCTTGGACGAATTGAAATTTTTTTATGAATCTTAGATTTATACATATTTTTTTAGAATACCATTGATAGTTTCGTCTAAATCACATCTAGACATGCTAGAAAAAGATCAAACTGCCTACAGGTTTCTTAAAATGAAATGATCTATCTTCATGAGTATTTTTCAATAGAGTTATTTAAAGATCCAATGAAACCATTATCTCATAGATGTTTGGCTTTTCATGACAAGCAATGCTGACAATTTTAAAAATGTGATTACATGCCATAGCTTGTTTTCGGAGATGGCATCTACCTATAATATTTTTTAGTAGCAAGTCAGCAAGAATATTTATGCCTCATGATGATGCTACAATAAAAAAAGGTTAAATATGAATGTGGTAATAAAAAAGGCAACTGTTAAATAAGAATGTTGAAGTAGTTAAAAAAGTTTTCATTTATGATAGATCCAGATATTTGATTTACCTGTTGACTGTTTCATGTGTTCGCTCTGACAGACTTGGCCACAACTGAATTACCTGTTCAGGTGAAGGTGAACAGGTAATTATCTCAGTCTTGATGATGACTTGGTAGTCCTTCTTGCCCCCTTCCCCCAGGGTGGGTTTCAGAATTCATCATATACACGGGACATCTTGTGTGCTCCATCATATCTGTTCATGGTGTGTTTCTTTCTTCTTATCCGGATGGATTCCAAAACTTTGCGTTTATTGTAATTATTTTCACTGGTTATCACTTTTACATTGTTCCATTTTGGCACATGGTTGTTTTCTGACATATGATCTGTGATGGCAGATTTGTGTAAGACTCCTGTCGACATTGAGCGTTTGGATCTGGTGTTGACTCCCTCTCTTAAATTTTCCTTTACATCTTTCTTGTGCTCCTCTTGCCTTAATTCTAGTTTTCTTCCCATTTTTCCAACATATACTTTGTCACAGCTCCCACACCCTATTTCATATACTGTTCTACACTTCTTGTTATCTTTTTGGGTGTACAAGCATGTTTCTGAGTTTTGCATGTGGTTTAAATGACACTCCTATGTTTTCCTTCCTCATGATTTTCTCTGAAATTCCTGGGATTGTAACTTGTCCTTTGGATTTTTCCACTCTTTTGTCTTTCTTATTTTTGGATATCTTTCTTCCTGATCTTTTCATTTCCATTTGATGTTTCACCTTATTTATCGTCCATTTTGGGTAATTACACTGTTTCAATGCCTCTTTTATGAGGGTTTCTTCTTCCATTCTGTCCTCTGGTTCAGTCACTAGTTTGTAACAGCGATCTATCAATGTTCTTACCACTGCCAATTTGTGTACTACTGGATGGTGGGATGTGAAATCCAGATACTGGTTAGTGTGAGTTGGTTTTCTGTACACTTTGGTTTTTATGGACCCATCTGCTTTGACTATAATGTCTGTATCCAAGAATGCTATGTGGTTGTCCTTCATTTCTTCATTGGTGAATTTTATGCTGCTGGAGAGGTCGGTGCTATTCATGTGTTGGTTCACTGCTGCTGTAGTATCCTTTGGTAGATGTCATCCGCATATCTGAGCCATAGGCGTGGCTTGCACCAAAGGAGAGCTGTTTTGACTAACAAGTCATCATCAAGACTGATGTAGTTAACTGTTCACCTTCACCTTAACAAGTAATTCAACTGTGACCAAGTCTGTCAGAGTTAACAGACAAACAGTCAACAGGTAAATCAAATATCTGGATCTATCATAAATGAAAACTTTTTTCAACTATCAAAACTGAGATCCAATGAAACTTTTTTCACAGGAAAGTTGGAATTAATATCTGTGTTAATCAGTCTTTTCATGTTTAATTGATTTTTTTTTCAGGTCGACAACGAAAGTGGTTCTCTTTGGAGGAGGCCAAAGCGAAGCTCTCTGCACACAAGCCTGTGCAGTGTGAATACCTAAGTGTGATTCCCAATGGACGGCTGTCTTGACAACTTGTGACATTAAAACTTTTTTTGAAACACCCTCTGTACTTTGTGTTGTAACATAGTGTGTAGATAATTCAGTATTGTACGGAAAGTTTTGTGTATGTGTTTCGTGCACAGTTGACATACGACTTCATGTTATATCATGTCGCTTCCTCATACTTACATCATCGTACTCATTTTATTGCATCGATTCTCATCACATTAATTTAAATGGTGGTGATGTCACTATTTTGGACAGTTATTTTTTGCCTGTGGGTAGAAGGTTTCATGCAGGACAATTCTGAGTCACATTATTATTGCTACAAGGCAAAATGCATTACATGCCAACTAGATTACATACTGCATAAATTCATCAAATTATTCTTATAAATACGTCGGCAACATTGAGATCAGTATTCACTTGTATAAATTATTAAGATTTTTTTTTTCACTCTCTGTACCTTGTTCTAATTCAAGTTAGTGTAGTTAATATATGACTACGCCTATTATAACTTGCAACCAAGTGGCAAGGAAAAAAAAAAACAAATTTTATATTAAAATGTAGTTATTTGTAAAAAAAAAATTAAGAGTATACTAAATGTGCAGGTGACAGAGTCAACGGTCTGCTTAAAAACTGGACAGTGTAAATTTAATTATAGCAAAATGTCAGAAACTAGCTTCAAGGTGAAGATGGGCAAATGGGGAATGGTCAGGTTTACCTATGGTGAGAGTCTACTTGAATTACATTGCCCTGACTGGTGGGAAATATCGAATCAAAGAAAGAGAAGATACTGTTGTTTTACTGCTCTTTTACAGAAGCCACTTGCAAATGGTCATTGTTTTATTTCGTGTGCAGTTCAGGATGATTTTTCCAGTGATTAGTTTATGATTTTTCTTGATTTAATTTACTGTTGAATCTCTTCAGTTGTTATCCAGGTGTTACTTTTTTGTTTTTTGCTTCCCCCCACCCCCCTTACTGAACCTTCCGTTTTTGCATCGTTTTAGATTGAACCTTTCCAAGCTTTTTAATTCTATGAGACAACAGTTCAGCTTGTTTTTTTCTTTTCTCCAATCATTTTAGTTACCTTTCTATGTGAACTGCTACACTGAATGTAAGAAAGGAAGAGAGGTGGTTACAATTATGGTCCCTCTCCCAGTATTATTTCTTCATTTTTGCTGTATTTCAGCCCACTAGCAGTATGTATATTTATTCTTTTGAAGTAATTACACCTCAAGCATTATTCCAATGGAAGAATATTGAGTTGAATTTCTTTTGCTGACTTTTGACATGAATAAATTTTTACTTGATTCAAGAAGTTGCTGTTTTTTATTGTCTCCAATAACATGAGTAGATTTCAGTAATGAAAATGTAAACCTGCAAAATAATACATCGAAAATAAATACTAAAATTGGAATAATTTCTATCACTGTCCTTTATTATGTATATTCTTAAGGAGAACTATGAAATGGCAATACCTACTTAATGATTTCTTTATGACTAGTAACACTTCTTGCACAGTTTTATAGGGCTTGTGTATCAGCAGGCATCTTACTGATGCAGAATATCCTTCTTGTCAAACATTTCTTTCACTTCTATTTCACTGTCAAAACTGAAAATAATCCTGAAATTACCAAACAAATAAACCTTGATCCTAAAGGTCAAAATACATTTCATTTTGTATCATGATTTCTAAAAAATTCCATTTCAGGTAACAGAAAAGCTAGACCGAGTTAACTTTAAAAAGTCGTACCTAAACCAGCTTTCAGAAAAAATACTTTGCTCATTTTATACAATGAATAATTATACCACCTTGCAGTAATGTCAGTACCTAAGTTGAGTAAACAGAAAAAAAAGGGATAAACAAATTCTCCATTTTTCTTCCTGTAGACGTGTCTCTTTTAATCTATAACCTTAATCCTTACATCAATTCTTTTCCTTAATGCTCCCTCTGCTTTCACTAACTGATACACTGTCGAGTATTTGTGTATGCATTGCAATATCCACATTGGCATCACATATAGGTCATGTACAAATATACAATGCAAATCAAATGGGACATTTAGTAAATAGTAGGCATAGAAAACAAACTGCAGACTGAAAAAAAAAAAAAAAATTCAATACAGAGGCAGATACATTCATGGGCATAATTCCCGTTTTCTCCTTCTGACTCGAACATTCTTATCACTAGATATAATGGTAACACGTAGTGGCTGAAATCTGGGGCATCCCCCCCAGGTCCAGTTTTGGCATGTTACTGATAATGTGGCACAATACTTCTATACAATCACTGACAAATTTTACAATCTAGCTCTACACACAGAACTATTTACAGTCTACTTTTATAATTTTATTATTATATATTTATAGCTCTAATCTCACTGTACACTATCTCATGCCTGTATCTACATGTAGTATATATGTCCGATGTCCATCCCTTTGGACACCCTTCTCCATCAACAGCTTTAGTGTGACCTCTTAAAAGAAAAAAAAAATCCATACTGCTCTTTCAAAACCTCTTTCTGAAAGTATTTGCACATAAATAATTCAAACACCTGAGTTTTCAACGCTTCAAGTCCCTTCAATGTCTAGACACCACTCGAATTGGCTCATTTCATGCTCATACCAGATGTGTGGCTATTTCAAGGGGTTACTAATAATATATCTCTTGGTCATAAATAGCTGTGGTATGGAAGTGTTATGCTTATGCTCTTCATTTAAACCAAATTTAGAAAAAAAAAAACTTTCTATGCAAAAATTATTTCCCTCTTGTTGGATGAAAGTATGCGAAAAATCTCTCTTTCAACTGATGAAAGTACGCAAAAAAATACTTCTCTTTCAACTGAATAAAGTATGCAAAAAAAAAATAAAAATAAAAATTCCCTGGTTGGACGAACGTATACTCCAAATCATAATACCATCTCACACTCTTACAATTTTGTTTTGAAATCTGTAACTTGATTGTTGAAGGAGGTAGACACCCCTCTTTCCTAACTGTAGTCTTTGTAAAGAGAATCTCATCATTTCCCAATACACTCCTCCCTCTCTAGTTACCCATGCAAAGCCCCTGCAAATAGGAAGAAAATCTTGCCCAGAATCCTGTGTTCTGTTTTTTTTTTTTTAAACAATTTAGAAAATGAATGTCAGGATGTTGTTGTAAATGCTAAAATTGAGGTAGAAATGCACAATACTTATTGCCTGTGATGTTTAATGGCAGGTATAAGTCACCAGGCTCTATTTGAATAGATAGAGGAGTATAATTAACAGAATTTAAGTATGAGCATCTAACCACACAAACTAATATTGCACTCTCCATAATTATGTATAATATATATATCTATAAAAGCTGTTCGCAAATCAATATGATAATAAGAATTTGAATTGAACATGATTTTCAATTTGCAGCTTTTTCATTAAAATGACATGATTTGTTTAGTGTTCATACTCTTGAGTGCAAAACTCTCAAATACAATGGCATACCAACATGGCATTCCAGGTAAAGCATACAAATAAATATGCCCTTGAAAACTTGTCAGCTTAACATCGATGTGCCTTCTTTAAGTAGTGCTTACACTTCAGCTGAAACAGTTTCAGGACCAAGAGGCCGGCGACTAACACAAGTTTCTGGGATGTTGCAGTAAAACAAGTCAGCATAACCAGCAGGGTTACCAGCCTTTGGTCTGGCAGTCAAAGCAATTTTCCAGAGTGTTTCAACTGGGTCCCAATATCCATGAAATCTGTGGCAGTGAAATCTCAAAGTTTGTTGATCAAATGGCATGATGAGTGGTCGTGGTGTCAAAACACTGAAGGCTTTTCCTTTTATGAATTACTGTAAGTCCTGTGTTGGTCACTGCTGTTACTTTTTCTGGCGTTGGAACCGCTACTCCCTGGCGCTCTGGGTGAGTATGGTGGCATCTGAACGGTATAATTCCCATCATGCTCATAGGGCGCCACCTCGTCTCGACTCACGCCTTTAGCAGGACTGTCTTTTTGTTTTAACTTTTTGCGCCATGATGGACCTCGACGTAACTTCCCACTATCTCCCTGCAAAATAAACAACAGTTTAGAATCATACATCATCAAATGTGAAGCCTGCAATGGCTAATTATTTCTTAAACTGATGAGAAAATTAAGACTCGATAAAAACTAATCATGGAGAAGGGGAGTGGGTATAAATAAAGAAATTTAAATTATTTTTTCATTTTCATTCTTGACTCTAAATAAACAACTCACTTATTCTGTACAGGGCACTTTATTAAGTAGCAAGATCACGAAAAACTCATCTCAAGAATTAAATAATCCTTAGACATAAATAGATACCCTAGGACCATGCATATCTTTAAGGGGAAAATAAAATGTCTCTAAAATTAATGCCAAAGTCATAAAAAAAGTTCATCCATATTTTCTTTTAACTCATTATCTAACATGACACATGCAAAAAAAGAGTCTTTCCATAAATCTCATCCTGCTAGAAAATATATACAATCCAAACAGCTCGCTCTGTTAACAAACTTATAAAAAGATCCTGAACAGAAATGAAAAGGTTACCAGATTAGTAATGATGGGTTGTTACCATGACATTATCCTTTCATGCACTGGTGGAAAGTAGGAGTACATAATGATGACATGCAAATAAGGGCATATGGGGGACGGAAAAAGGGAGAGGGGTTTACATGCAAGGAATACAAGGGGGACCAAAAAAAATGTAAGTTTCATATATACAATAACTGTTACACATTGTAGATAACAAAATGTCAGTGTTTCAATTAGTGCAGTACTGATACCCAGTCAACAATGTATCAGATGACATATGACTGTAAAATGTAGCAGTACTGCACTGAATCTACAACTGATACAGTGAAATTGCTGTCTATAGACCAGCAATAAGGTCAGTTGACATGGAGAATTATCAACATCTTGCAGTGGGCATAGAATTTTTCATAGCAGTCAGTAGTACACCACGTACATATACATATATGCAGCCATAAATATAATGGAATTAAAGTGGGATAAAGTGATCTGAAATATTAATATCGCCTTCATGATGAATAATATTGATAAATTGCAGAGAAAGTAGTATGCCTGACATTTACACATCATGTCAAAATGAATATATTACACTTTCACTATTCTTTGCTCCAATAAATCACAAAAGGGCATCATACAGTGAAAGACATTCTTCAAAGTCAAATCATAATAGTTTCCAAACATCCAACCAAGCAGAAATCTTGAACTCCACTAAAACTTTGGACTAGCCTCCAGCTTGAGACTGTCTCTTTCAAAATTCTTTCATTCAGGAACCAACTGACAACATCTACGTATTTTAGAACTTCGGGGGAGCAAAGAATCGTAAAAAAAAATCAACATGTATTCAATTTGCACAATGGGATGCATGCACATCGATGAAGACATTGAACGAGGAAGGTACTTGTGCCTACAGGTAGAGCCACTGCTGCTCAAGGGGTGGTCACCACTTGGTGCTTACGAGTACCCAACTAGACAAAATGGAAAAAGAGAGAAGAGACATGACACATCAGACATGGTGACACTATATGGCTAGCTGACACAGAAGCAGCTGCAAAGATTTCAGCGATGCTATATCCATGTTCCTAGGCCCATAATATAGTAATACAATGTATACATGTATTCCCTTGCACCATATTGCTAAGCTTTGATTTTCTAGTAATAGTTGAAGATGAGGTGTATATGGAACTGCCTAGAGCAGCAGTTAAGGTATTTGTTTTATACACCTATTATGAATATATATATATATATATATTCAAGAACCAGCATCCATCTTAATTGAATATTAAAAAAAAAACACTATTTAGTTAACAAAACCATTAAAATATGATCCAAACTGTTTTACTTTTCTTTTTGTTCTCATCACTAGTATTGACTGCTTAATACCACAGTCTATCTAAAAGGCTCATCATGATTTTTTTCATTCAAGTGAAAATATTTGCCCCCCCCTCCCCCCAAACACACACATAATAAAAAAACTATTTGGTAAATCTGGTAAGAGACAATATATTCTTCTCCTGATGAAGTGCTACTTTGCATGTGACATTTTATCTACAGAGAATTAGAAAATGTGAAAATGTTCACGTTTGTCAATTTTGATGAAAATGGAAGCAGAAAAATGGAAGACACTTTCGTTCATGAGACTGAACCATATGTAATACGGTGCCTTGTTAACATATTTGGGAAAATATAGTTTCATTTTCGATAGTATCACTGGAGATCAACACTCTGTCACTTATCTAAGTAAAACATTAATCTCTTTACATGACTTTTTTATGTTATCATGCAAATAAACATCATAGAAAATGCAGTCAAATCTCAACTCGGATCAAAACTTAAACTGCATTTAATCCATCACATAATGCACTTGACTGATGCTATGAATTAACAATGCGGCTTCTGATGCATTTCTATATATTGGAACTTATTGGTAAAAACCCTCACTGCAGTAACACAAACTTTCATGCTTCTATGTCTACTCATGCTGGTTGGCAACAGACTTTTTTTTACCGTGCCCTGATTTAACAATCCTTTAAACATGACCCTTAACCTACAACAGTCTAGCTCTTAAATGATACAGAGGGGGGAAAAAATCCCGCATACCTCATCCAATCTTCTATCTGTTCCTATTGCTAGTAAGTTGTGGAATTCCCTGTCCAAGATCTGTCTTGCCTGAAAATTCAAAATAAACATTTGAAAAGCACAAATCATGTGAAAATGAGTGTTTTTTTTTTTTTTTTCGAGGCAGAATTCAGTAAAATTGACATTTTCTAAACAGTATTTATTCTGTAACAGGACACATGAAACTTGGCAAATAATAAGTGCATTCAATAATTTGATCAGACAAGAGTGCTTTCAAAAATATTTCCTGTAAATATGTGCACATACAAAATGAAGTGTTTTACCTTTAAACCTGAGCATTTTACCTTGCAAAACTACACGGAAAACCTTTGCTTGTCAATTTAGATCAGGCAATACTTTGTTTTAGATCAAGATTCCCAGCAAGGGAGTTGGCGATAGGTACACTCAGACCAGAGCAGACAAGTCTATGATTCTACAGAGTTTTACTATGAGGGCTTTTTTCTACTTGGTCATAAAATATCAAATATATAGTGGGGATTTTTTTTAGCACTTTGTTTGGAAAAAATACAACAAATTCTCTTTCTTGTTTGTAAAATTTCCTTTTAAAATTCTGTTAAGCATATTGCAGTTTTTACCACAAAATAAGGGGTACTCCCAGTTATGGTTATTTTTTGCTGTTTCATGTTGAAGAACAATCCCTCATGAGTGGAGGACATTTCATATTAATACACATAATCTAACATTTACTCACCTGTGTGATTTGTGTGGGAATTTGCAGGGCTAATGCGATACTGTTATGATCAAAACTTTCATCTAATGCTATAAGGGAACCGTGGACACCAGACTCCAATAAGTTATTAGCGTGTTCTTTAAGTCCTATAGATTGCACCCATCTTATGACACGTTCATTGGACCATACTAGTACATCTGGAAGACAGAAAAATAATTAGAAATCAATGGTTTTAAAAAGTGTGTGTGTGTAAAGGGGGGGGGGGGGGGGGGGGGGTGGGGAGGGTCATGGTCCAAATTTTTCTTACATCTATATTTATCAAGTTAAAAGCAGAAACCAAGAGTCAAATGAAACATTTAATTCCTGCATTTGTATATGCATATGACGGTGAAAAGAACATTGACAACTAAATCACTGTCATTAAGCTTTGAATGTTACCACTATCTGATGCAGTTTTTACAGTAGTTATAACAGTAGTTTAATATACAATCTATTCATATTTTGTAATATTTATAAATTAACAAAATAATAAAAATCATAAAATATTAAAACTTTTGATCTTTAAAATTTGCAGAAGTACTTTTAACAAAATCTGTTATTCCCATACCTTTGTTCTCTGTGGCACTTTCTTCTCTCCGCCTTTCTAATTCTTTTCTGTCATAATTTAATCTCTTTAAACAGTTAATACCATATTGCAAACTTGTCCTAAAACAAACAATAAAAAATCTTTGAATTTCCACAATTATTTAACAATAACACCTGCACATTCTGTAAAGTGATGTATGGTCTACTGTATATTCATGCATGGCTGGCTAGTAACCCAACAAAAGGCCTTAATTTCATGTCACAATGCCGTAGCTTTTGGCACAACAATGAACTTAATTTTTGGCCATGCCTTCATAACCCTCCACCTGCTACATTCAGCTGTACATATTACTGTGTATTTTTAATGAATGTTTTTTTCAGCAGAACATTTTATGATGCAGATTTATATAATTATATACAATTTTACCAGTGACATAATAACCCATATCCACAAACTGACTGATTTCATACATAAACATGCAATTTGAAATATGTTAAACAGCATGGCACACTTGTGAGAAATACTTCTTAGTGACTTAACATCAAAACCAAATGATACGCTATCTTGATGTGAAGTACCTTGAAATAAAATCTCTTCTTTAATGAAAAAAACAATGAGGGGACACACAACCTGATCTATAGGCATATTATATAAAACAAATCAGTCCTTAATACCTATGAAAGCTGTCCACCATTTTCAGCTGGCCCCTCAAGTCCTTTTTGGTGAGATGGTCCAGCATGCGGGCGTCCACCAGACACTCCATGAACGTACTCCTGTACTGAGGTAGACCCAGCGACGGCAGCCACTCGTTGCCTATCCACTCGTGGTTCATGTCCCCAAAAGCTAGAGGCTGGAATTATAATATAAAATACTGTAGATACAAAAAAAAAATCTGATTGTTTTTAGTAAGTAAAATTGGCTTTAGATGAAATAACATATTTCAGAAGTGAGAAAGCAAGAGGCTGAAGTGAGGAACAAGTTTTTTTTTCTTTTTCAACTAATACTGAATGATTGAAATAGCAGGCTTCAATGGTGAGAAATCACCATGCCAAATAAATGCGAGGTCTTTTTTTTTTCAACATCCACCAAGTAAAAGTAAGCTACACCATTCATCATCAAAATGTATCTGTTACGCATGATTTCTAATGTGAACAACACATGGCAGAATAAACTTACAGTCCTGGTAGTCTTGGGAGCAGATGGACTGGTCAAGCTGACCATTTCCTGAATGGCCAGCCTAAGTTTTAGCCGGTGGAGTGGGTTACTGATCCCTATTTCTCGTTGTATCTCCTGGTCAGATAGAGCAGACATGATGGCCCCGCTCTTCACATTGGCACGGCAGGCGGCAACATACCAGGCTGGCATGCCTACCCACAGCTGGGGGGAAAAGGTAAACAAAATTAGTAAACAAAATTAGTGAGCGGAAAAAGGTGAAAATATTCTTGTACATGGTAATTCTATTTAAATTCCCATCTATAGAAGGATTGAAATGAGTCAGTTTTACACTATCAAAATGTGAACATCCAGCAGATGCAGCAGTAGTTTTATCCTCAAACAAATTTGCCCCTACACACTTTTTTTAATAATATTTTTAATATTTCTTTCAATTCAATATGATGTTCTTATACTCTTTAGATCAAATCAGGACCAAATGGAATTCTAAGAGCACAGAATACTAGACTGATAACTAACACTGATCACTGTGGATGTCTCACCTCAAGCCAAGCTACAACTGTTGGTCCATTCCATAATGCAAAAGGTGTTCTATCCTTCATAGCTTCTTCTAAAAGCTCCTCTCTGAATAAACAGAAAGTAAAAGAACATAATTACTGGTACGAAATGCAGGTAACTCTGGATATAAAATAGATCAATCGCTGGATATTGGATGCTGGCAATAAAATAAAATTAGCCTAACAAGCATAATCTTACTTGCACATCTTTATAAAGTGAAATGTTTAGTGAATAACTGTTGGGAATACCTTGACTTCCTTTTATTGCCATTAATCATAAAGCTTTCTTTTTTTCATAAAGTTTCCCTTTCATAAAAATCAACAATAAAAATTTATTTCACCGCAAAAAAAAAAAAAAAAAAAAAAAAAAAAATCAAATGACAGCTAAATCTATGTTTACAAAAAATTCATTCTATGCAGATGACTCAGAAACCAGTTCAAATGCAACTTTGATACAATGAAATCAAAATGTTTTGTTCTTCTGTAGACCTACTTCTTCTTTTTCCTTCTGTCAAATTCTGATTTTAATCCTATAGCATCAGCACCAGTTAGATCACTTTCTCCCGCTCCTGAATGAAAAATTATTATCAATAAGTCACCTTAAATGTCCTTATAAAAAGTCCTGGATTTCTACAGTTCCTAGTCTTATCATTCCTAGTCTAATAATAACCAAATATCAATTTAATGTCAGAAATGCGATTCATTAACAATTATACTCAATTAAATGAAAGGACTAATATATTTCAAAGCACTGCATGCCAAATCATTTTTTCAGTATTGAAGGTAGTGACACAGTTATCCTCACAAAATCGTGATAGATTTGATTTGGTTAGTGCTTTCAACAGGCAATTTCAATAACTACTGGCATCTATCTTCAGCATAAACCATTAGTATTAACGTAAACAAGATATATATTTATTCTTTACATACACAAAATAACTAAACTGTCTAATCTGTACATAATCAAACATACTAGCCTAGGTGCTAAAACTTGTCAGTTTCACATAAATAAGAAATATTCAAAAACACTCAATAACATTAGTTATAAAAATTTCAACAAGATCGTTATTATTTTTTAGGCTACAAATAATTCAAACCCTAAGCATGTACTAAAGAGAGCCTCCTAATAACCTTAATAAGAATTATGTTAAGTTGCTCTTTATCTAAAGGAAAAAAAGTTCTTAAAAGTTCAAATTGGGGCCATGTCCATCAATGAACTTAATAGCTTACAAAGAATTAAAAATCTCTCATTAAGCAGTCTGGTCAGTGAGGTCAGTTGGCCAACAACTGGTCTATGTAAAGGAAGTTCTGACCATTTCCCCTGGACAACCTCAATGGGGGTCCATCTGGCTAATTAGACTGACCAACTTCCCCACTGCTCCAGAAGCTAATTTTATTTACACCAATTATATTGTGCTGTTTCAACTAGTAAAATCTATGGGCTCATTCCCATTGAAACTATTGGTCTACGTAGATCGATCCAACTCCAAGAGGACTCTCACTGAATGTAATCAGTTTAACAGGTTAACACGCCTCCTCTTGGCGTTGAGTAGAATACAGGTAAGGTGGTGATTATAAGAATATGTTGGAAACAAGAAGAGGTGTTAACCTGCTACACTGATTGCATTCAGCGAGAACTTCCAGGGAATTGGATCGATGTGTGTAGACTGGTAGTTTCAATGGGAATTAGCCCCTTTTTCAAGGAATCATTTCTGAAGAAAATGAACAAGCAGGGACACAAAGGAACAAGCATAAAAGATTTGGAAATGGTAAAACAAGAGTTATATTGTGAAGATAGTAATACATAATTAAGAAAAGAAAAAAGTAAAAGAAAAAAAAATTACAGCCAAACTAAGCTACAGTCACCCACCAGTAAGCAGCAATACCTGTTATTTGCAATGTTTCACATGTATTTCTCCCAACATATTCACTCTTCTTCATTTTAGGTGAAGCTGTCATGTCTAATAAACATGAGTGAAATGAATACAAGATGTTTTCAAGCAGTGAATTATAACTGAGACAATGACAATAACAATAATCCATAATGAGGCACAGTGAAACCAATGTTGTCACGCACGCTCATGCATCAGAGGCAAGCAAAAAAAAAATAAATAAATAAATAAAGAAGATTTTTCAGTTAAAAACATGCAGAGAACTTTGAGAGAGTAGCAGACACTAATATGATCACAGGATGCATAAATACAGGAATCAAATATACATAGCATCACCACGTTGCACATGGACGATTCTTAAAGCAAGATCCTCAAAGTCGAGTTCTTCCAAAAATTCTTCATAAAATTCGTTGATATACATTACCTGCTGGCATCATAAGATCCCTGTGTAGACTTTCCTTGCTCTTTAGCTTTTCTTTTTTGCTACCGAAAAATCGTCCTAAAGAGCCTTTGAGTCCCTTCTTCTTGGGCTGTTTGTGAAGGGAGTCTTGACTACTGTTGGTGCTACTCTGTGGACTAGGGGTACTGTGGGACCCGCTGCCGTCCAAAGACGCCCTACAAAACATTTAAGATTATAAGGTTGTTGTATGATGGGACATCCCCCCAATCTTTAGGTTCTAGTAATGAAAAACTGCAACATGTCCTTTTCAGAATTCTGCTCCACCTTGTGGCGTCAACAAAACTGTAACACCTTGCACAACAAGAGATGCCTTTATGTTATTTGAAGCAAAGTGAATTGATTATTTTACCTAATGTGGGCTTGTTGACAACATAACTTTTTCAAAAAGTTTTTGGCAAAAAGTAAATACTTTTTAAAGAGACTAAACAGGTATTTTTTACCTATGAGGCAAGACATTTTCACACTTCTTTTTTTACCATCACTACACAATAGTCAGTGATAATCCTATATAACCATATTAAACATTTACTTCCATCAAATGAAATCACAATGTTTGAAATGTTACCAAGCAAAAAAAAAAAATAAAAAAAATTAAAGACTATTGTCTATGTCTAATTTGTGTCAAATTTGACACGTGCCGCAATCGTACCCAACTGCCTTTGCGTCCTCCATTTTATACCTTAATTCTTCACTGCTCTGCGCCAGCGCTGCTGCCACTCTCTCCAGCCTTAGCGACCTGGCCGTAGGCGGACTAGATTCACACTTGATGGGTCTGTTCTCTTCCTTCAAGCAAGTATCATCTTGGCTGTAAGGAGGGGAGGGCTGGAAGCAAACAGAAAAAAAAAGTTCAAATATCACTACATTTGTATTATGCTGTGTTCATCTGTGATTTCTTTCAGTGAAGTGATTCTTTAGGAAATGTTATCTATAGTGAGGCATTGAAAGCAAATACCTAATTAAGGATTTTCAACAAAATACACAATATAGATATTATTTCAAACAGAAGAGAAAACAGCATTAAAATTAGACAAAACTAGTCATGTTAACTCATTAGTTGATTCAATAAGTATTTATAAATCATAGCAAAGAATTATACTGGTTTTCATATTCAAAGATCAAGTAATATCAATTACCATCATCAACAAAGCAAGAAAATATTAATTTGTTAAAACAAGAGATATCTGCTGGAGAAAGCTTGCGACTGACTGACTGACTGACTGACTACCTTAGGCGGAGGTTCCGAGACCAGGCCAATGTTAGGTGTGGAGGCGGAGTGAGCGTACATGTGCTGGGCAGACATACTGGCGGGGGCCTGAAGGAAGAGGTTGGCACTCAGAGATACGATTATGTTACGCTGAAGCTCTTTAGGCACTCAGAGAGGCGACAATATTATGCTGAAGCTCTTCTGGGCTCATTCTAACTTGATATTCTTTTCCTTTTCTATTTTGTTTAACAACCTGGCATAATACTTTCTGATAATCTCTTCAATTCAGTCAAATTAAAAGAATTACTCAAGGTGGAGAAAAGGATGTTCAAATTAGTAAAAGGATTTTCAGCCCAAAACATTCTTAAATGCAAAAGTGAGCCCAGTTTTTGCTGTAATGTAGCTGTTTTGTAAGGGTAAGCCTGTAAGCTGTAATATTGGTATTAAAAGAAAGGAATTAATATTCTCATTTGATGACTAGAACTGACAGAGCCACAGTGGCATTGCAGAGGATGAGTCTTACTTCAGAGAATATGCTTAATTTTACAACATCTGTATCCTGGTTAGTATTTCACTTCTCAGAGGTCAAAGAAATTATTAATATTGCAGAAAAAAAACCCTGCAAATTTCGTCAATTTTGTATCCTGTTAGCATTTCATTTCTAAGAGGTCAAAGAAATTACTAATATTACAAAAACAATTACAAGTTTTATCAAATTTTTTAACAATAACAAGTGGAAACAAATATAAAAATTCATGCAGAACAGAGACTGGAGTTCAGAAAAAAAAAAAAAAAAAAAAANCATATTGTAGATAACAAAATGTCAGTGGTTCAATCAGTGCAGTACTGATACCCAGTCATCAATGTATTAGATGACATGTGACTGTAAAATGTAGCAGTACTGCACTGAATCTACAACTGATACAGTGAAATTGCTGTCTATAGACCAGCAATTAGGTCAGTTGACATGGAGAATTATCAACACCTTGCAGTGGGCATAGAATTTTTCATAGCAGTCAGTAGTACACCACGTACATATACATATATGCAGCCATAAATATAATGGAATTAAAGTGGGATAAAGTGATCTGAAATATTAATATCGCCTTCATGATGAATAATATTGATAAATTGCAGAGAAAGTAGTATGCCTGACATTTACACATCATGTCAAAATGAATATATTACACTTTCACTATTCTTTGCTCCAATAAATCACAAAAGGGCATCACACAGTGAAGGACATCCTTCATAGTCAAATCATAATACAGTTTCCAAACATCCAACCAAGCAGAAATCTTGAATCTTGAACTCCACTAAAAATTTGTATTAGCTCCTAGCTTTAAATTGTCTTTTTCAAAATTATTTCATTCAGGAACCAACTAACAACATCTACGTATTTTAGAACTTCGGAGGAGCAAAGAATCGTAAAAAAAAATCAACATGTATTCAATTTGCACAATGGGATGCATGCACATCGATGAAGACATTGAACGAGGAAGGTACTTGTGCCTACAGGTAGAGCCACTGCTGCTCAAGGGGTGGTCACCACTTGGTGCTTACGAGTACCCAACTAGACAAAATGGAAAAAGAGAGAAGAGACATGACACATCAGACATGGTGACACTATATGGCTAGCTGACACAGAAGCAGCTGCAAAGATTTCAGCGATGCTATATCCATGTTCCTAGGCCCATAATATAGTAATACAATGTATACATGTATTCCCTTACACCATATTGCTAAGCTTTGGTTTTGTAGTAATATAGTTTATGATGAGGTGTATATGGTATATGGAACTGCCAAGAGCTTCAGTTATGGTATTTGTTTTATATATATATATATATTCAAGAACTAGGATCCATCTTAATTGAATATTAAAAAAAAAAAAAAAAATAAAAAACTATTTACTTAACAAAACCATTAAAATGTGATCCAAACTGTTTTACTTTTTTTTTGTTCTCATCACCAGTATTGACTGCTTAATACCACAGTTCATCTAAAAGGCTTATCATGATTTTTTTTATTCAAGTGAAAATATTTGCCCCCCCCCCCCCAAAAAAAAAAAAAAATCATAAAAAACTATTTGATAAATCTGGTTAGAGACAATTTATTCTTCTCCTGATGAAGTGCTAGTTCGCATGTGACATTTTATCTACAGAGAATTAGAAAATGTGAAAATGTTCACGTTTGTCAATTTTGATGAAAATGGAAGCAGAAAAATGGAAGACACTTTCGTTCATGAGACTGAACCATATGTAATACGGTGCCTTAATAACATATTTGGGAAAATATAGTTTCATTTTCGATAGTATCACTGGAGATCAACACTCTGTCACTTATCTAAGTAAAACATTAATCTCTTTACATGACTTTTTTATGTTATCATGCAAATAAACATCATAGAAAATGCAGTCAAATCTCAACTCGGATCAAAACTTAAACTGCATTTAATCCATCACATAATGCACTTGACTGATGCTATGAATTAACAATGCGGCTTCTGATGCATTTCTATATATTGGAACTTATTGGTAAAAACCCTCACTGCAGTAACACAAACTTTCATGCTTCTATGTCTACTCATGCTGGTTGGCAACAGACTATTTTTTTAACCGTTCCCTGATTTAAAATTCCTTTAAATACAACCCTTAACCTAAAACAGTCTTGCTCTCAAATGATACAGAGGGGGGGAAAAAACATCCCACATACCTCATCCAATCTTCTATCTGTTCCTATTGCTAGTAAGTTGTGGAATTCCCTGTCCAAGGTCTGTCTTGCCTGAAAATTCAAAATAAACATTTGAAAAGCACAAATCATGTGAAAATGAGTGTTTTTTTTTTTATTTCGAGGCAGAATTCAGTAAAATTGAGACTTTCTAAACAGTATTTATTCTGTAACAGGACACATGAAACTTGGCAAACAATAAGTGCATTCAATAATTTGATCAGACGAGTGCTTTCAAAAATATTTCCTGTAAATATGTGCACATACAAAATGAAGTGTTTTACCTTTAAACCTGAGCATTTTACCTTGCAAAACTACACAGAAAACCTTTGCTTGTCAATTCAGATCAGGCAATACTTTGTTTCAGATCAAGATTCCCCGCATGTGAGTTAGTGTTACACTCACACCAGAGCAGACAAGTCTATGATTCTACAGTATTTTACCATAGGGGCCATAAAATATGAAATATCTCTGGGGAACCTCTTTAGCACTAAAAATACAAAAAAATTCTCTTTCTTTTTTATAAAATTTCCTTTTAAAATTCTGTAAAGCATGTTCCAATTTTTACCACAACATAAGGAGTACCCAATTATGGTTATTTTTTGCCGTTTCATGTTGAAAAACAATCCTGAGTGGAAGATATTTCATATTAAAACACATAATCTAACATTTACTCACCTGTGTGATTTGTGTGGGAATTTGCAGGGCTAATGCGATACTGTTATGATCAAAACTTTCATCTAATGCTATAAGGGAACCGTGGACACCAGACTCCAATAAGTTATTAGCGTGTTCTTTAAGTCCTATAGATTGCACCCATCTTATGACACGTTCATTGGACCATACTAGTACATCTGGAAGACAGAGAAATAATTAGAAATCAATGTGTTTGTGTGTGTGTGTGTGTGTGTGTGTGTGTGTGTGTGTGTGTGTGTGTGTGTGTGTTTGCGTGTGCGTGCGCACATACATATGCATGTTTGTACATTTGTATGTGCATGTGTTTTAAACTGAGGGGTTCAAAAATGAAATGATTCCGATAACATTATTGGACATGTCATATTTTGGTCTACGTTTTTCTAACATCTTTATTTATCAGGGTAAAAGCAGAATCCAAAAGTCAAATGAAACATTTAATTCCTGCATTTGTACATGCATATGATGATGAAAAGAACATTGACAACTAAATCACTGTCATTAAGCGTTGAATGTTACCACTATCTGATGCAGTTTTTACAGGAGTTATAACAGTAGTTTAATATACAATCTATTCATATTTTGTAATATTTATAAATAAACAAAATAATAATAATTATAAAATATTAAAACTTTTGATTTTTAAAATTTGCAGAAGTACTTTTCACAAAATCTGTTATTCCCATACCTTTGTTCTCTGTGGCACTTTCTTCTCTCCGCCTTTCTAATTCTTTTCTGTCATAATTTAATCTCTTTAAACAGTTAATACCATATTGCAAACTTGTCCTAAAACAAACAAACACAAATAAAAATCTTTAGCTTTATACAATTATTTAACAATGAACACATGTGCATAGTGTACAGTGACATATGGACATGTGCATAGTGTACAGTGACATATGGTCTGATGTATATTCATGCATGGCTAGTTAAGCCTAGGTCCCAACCGAACGTACAGACTGCTACGTGTGGTCTACGGCCCAAAAAATGGGGATAATGTGGGAGTTTGTGCTTGAGGAGCACGGCCATCGTGCAACTTTTGGAGGACACAAACAGCACTTAGAAACTTTACGACATGATCAACAGCCATTTGATTCCTTCCCTGCAATCTAGCTATGTCCTAGCCAGATGCAAGGAACCTAAAAAACCGTGCGTCCAAAATGTAGCTGGGACCAGGCTTTAGTAACCAAACAAACAGCCTTAATTTCATGTCACAATACCAGAGCTTTCAGCACTACAGTGAACTTTATTTTTGGCCTTGCCTTCATAACCCTCCATCTGCTACATTCAGCTGTACATATTACTGTGTATTTTTAATGAATGTTTTTTTTTTTAGCAGAACATTTTATGATGCCGATTTACATAATTACATACAATTTTGCCAGTGATATAATAACCCATATCCACAAACTGACTGGTTTCATACATGAACATGGAATTAAAAATCCATTAATCAGCATGACATACATGAGAGAAATACTTCCCAGTGACTTTTGATCAAAACCAAATGATACGCTATCTTGATGTGAAGTACCTTGAAATAAAATCTCTTCTTTAATGAAAAAAACAATGAGGGGACACACAACCTGATCTATAGGCATAGTATATAAAACAAATCAGTCCTTAATACCTATGAAAGCTGTCCACCATTTTCAGCTGGCCCCTCAAGTCCTTTTTGGTGAGATGGTCCAGCATGCGGGCGTCCACCAGACACTCCATGAAAGTACTCCTGTACTGAGGTAGACCCAGCGACGGCAGCCACTCATTGCCTATCCACTCGTGGTTCATGTCCCCAAAAGCTAGAGGCTGGAATTATAATATAAAATACTGTAGATAAAAAAAATCTGATTGTCTTTCTTTTTTAGTAAGTAAAATTGGCTATAGATGAAATAACATATTTCAGAGGCGAGAAAGAAAGAAATAAGGATGAAATAAGGAACAAGTTTTTTTTTCTTTTTCAACCAATACAGAGTAGATGAAATAGCAGACTTCAATGGTGAGAAATCACCAAGCCAAATAAACGCGAGGTCTTTTTTCTTTTCTTTTCTTTTCAACATCTACCAAGTAAAAGTAAGCTACGCCATTCATCATCAAAGTGTATCTGTTACTCATGATTTCTAATGTGAACAACACAAGGCAGAACTTACAGTCCTGGTAGTCTTGGGAGCAGATGGACTGGTCAAGCTGACCATTTCCTGAATGGCCAGCCTAAGTTTTAGCCGGTGGAGAGGGTTACTGATCCCTATTTCTCGTTGTATCTCCTGGTCAGATAGAGCAGACATGATGGCCCCACTCTTCACGTTGGCACGGCAGGCGGCGACATACCAGGCTGGCATGCCTACCCACAGCTGGGGCGGAAAAGGTAAATAAAATTAGTAAATAAAATTAGTGAAGGGAAAAAGGTGAAAATATTCTTGAACATGGTAATTCTATTTAAATTCCCATCTATAGAAGGATTGAAATTTGTCAGTTTTACACTATCAAAATGTGAACATCCAGCAGTAGTTTTATCCCAACACAAATTTGCCCATACACACTTTTCTAAAAAATTTTAAATATTTCTTTCAATTCAATATGATGTTCTTATACTCTATAGGTCAAACCAAGACCAAATGGAATTCTTATAGCATGGAATACTAGATTGCATTGATAACTAACACTGATCACTGTGGATGTCTCACCTCAAGCCAAGCTACAACTGTTGGTCCATTCCATAATGCAAAAGGTGTTCTATCCTTCATAGCTTCTTCTAAAAGCTCCTCTCTGAATAAATAGAAAGTAAAAGAACATAATTACTGGTACGAAATGCAGGTAACTCTGGATTTAAAATAAATCAATCGCTGGATAATGGATGCTGGCAATAAAATCTTACTTGCACATCTTTATAAAGTGAAATGCTTAGTGAATAACTGTTGACTTCCTTTTATTACCATTAATCATAAAGCTTTTTTTTTCATTAAGTTTTCCTTTTATAAAAATAAACAATAAAAATTAATTTTACTGCAAAAAATCAAATGCCAGCTAAATTGATGTTTACAAAAAAAAAAAAAAAAAAAAAATTCAGAAATTTCAGATTCAGAAATCAGTTCAAACACAACTTTGATGTAATGAAATCAAAATGCTTTGTTCTTCTGTAGACCTACTTTTTCTTTTTCCTTCTGTCAAATTCTGATTTTAATCCTATAGCATCAGCACCAGTTAGATCACTTTCTCCTGCTCCTGAATGAAAAATTATAATTCATAAGTCTTAAATGTTTGTCATTATGAAAAGTCCTGGATTTCCAGTTTATAGTCTTATCATTACTATCACCTAATAATAACCAAATATCAATTTAGTAGCATAAATGCGGTTCATTAACAATTATACTCAATTAAATGAAAGGACTAATATATTTCAAAGCACTGCATGCCAAAAGACTTTTTCAGTGTTGAGGCGAGTGACACAGTTATCCTCACAAAAATCACAGTAGATTTGATATGGTTAGTATTTTCAACAGGCAATTTCAATAACTATTGGCATCTATCTTCAGTATAAATCATTAGTATAAACATAAAAAAGATATATATTTATTCTTTATATCCACAACATAACTAAAATGTCTAATCTGTACATAGTCAAACATACTAGCCTAGGTGCTAAAACTTGTCAGTTTAAGTTTAAATAAGAAATATTCAAAAACACTCAATAACATTAGTTATGGAAATTTCAAAAAGTCTCTACTATTATTGTTTTTTTGTGCTAAAAATGATTCAAACCCTATACATATACTAAACAGAGCCTCCTAATAATCATAATAAGAATTCATGTTAAGTACCTCTTTATGTAAAGGAAACCTTACATAAAAAAGTTCCAAAAGTTCAAATTGAGGCCATGTCCATCAATGAACTTAATAGCTTACAAAGAATTAAAAATCTCTCCTAAAGCAGTCTGGTCAGTGAGGTCAGTTGGCCAACAACTGGTCTATGTTAAGGAAGTTCTGAGCATTTCCCCTGGACAACCTCAATGGGGGTCCATCTGGCTAATTAGACTGACCAACTTCCCCACTGCTCCAGAAACTAATTTTATTTACACCAATTATATTGTGCTGTTTCAACTAACTAATCTTAGGGCTCGTTCACATTGAAACTATTGGTCTACGTAGATCGATCCAACTCCAAGAGGACTCTCACTGAATGTAATCAGTTTAACAGGTTAACACACTTCCTCCTGGCGTTGAGTTGAATACAGAAAAGGTGATGATTATAAGAATGTGTTGGAAACAAGAAGAGGTGTTAACCTGCTACACTGATTGCATTCAGCGAGAATTTCCAGGGAATTAGATCGATGTGTGTAGACTGGTAGTTTCAATGGGAATTATCCCCTTTTTCAAGGAATCATTTCTGAAGAAAATGAACAAGCAGGGACACAAAGGAACAAGCATAAAAGAAAGCAGAAAAGAAATGCTAAAAAGAGTTATATTGTGAAGATGGTAATACATAATTAAGAAAAGAAAAAAGTAAAAGAAAAAAAATTACAGCCAAACTAAGCTACAGTCACCCACCAGTAAGCAGCAATACCTGTTATTTGCAATGTTTCACATGTATTTCTCCCAACATATTCACTCTTCTTCATTTTAGGTGAAGCTGTCATGTCTAATAAACATGAGTGAAATGAATACAAGATGTTTTCAAGCAGTGAATTATAACTGAGACAATGACAATAACAATAATCCATACTGAGGCACAGTGAAACCAATGTTGTCACGCACGCTCATGCATCAGAGGCAAGCAAAAAAATAAATAAATAAAGAAGATTTTTCAGTTAAAATCATGCAGAGAACTTTGAGAGAGTAGCAGACACTAATATGATCACAGGATGCATAAATACAGGAATCAAATATACATAGCATCACCACGTTGCACATGGACAATTCTTAAAGCAAAATCCTCAAAGTCGAGTTCTTCCAAAAATTCTTCATAAAATACGTTGATATACATTACCTGCAGGCATCATAAGATCCCTGTGTAGACTTTCCTTGCTCTTTAGCTTTTCTTTTTTGCTACCGAAAAATCGTCCTAAAGAGCCTTTGAGTCCCTTCTTCTTGGGCTGTTTGTGAAGGGAGTCTTGACTACTGTTGGTGCTACTCTGTGGACTAGGGGTGCTGTGGGACCCGCTGCCATCCAAAGACGCCCTACAAGACATTAAAGATTGGGAACATACAGGTGGTTGTATGGTGAGACATCCCCCCAATCTTTAGGTTCTAGTAATGAAAATCTGCAACAAGTCCTTTTCAGAATTCTGCTCCACCTTGTGGCGTCAACAAAACTGTTACACCTTGCACAACAAGAGATGCCTTTATGTTATTTGTAGCAAAGTGAATTGTTAACTTTACCTAATGTGGGCTTGTTGACAACATAACTTTTTCATAAAGTTTATGGCAAAAAGTAAATATTTTTTAAAGAGACTAAACAGGTATTTTTTACCTATGAGGCAAGACATTTTCACACTTCTTTTTTTTGCCATCACTACACAATAGTCAGTGATAATCCTATATAACCATATTAAACATTTACTTCCATCAAATGAAATCACAATGTTTGAAATGTTACCAAGCACAAAAAAAAAAAAAAAAAAAAAAAGACTATTGTCTATATCTAATTTGTGTCAAATCTGACACGTGCCGCAATCGTACCCAACTGCCTTTGCGTCCTCCATTTTATACCTTAATTCTTCGCTGCTCTGCGCCAGGGCTGCTGCCACTCTCTCCAGCCTTAGCGACCTGGCCGTAGGCGGACTAGATTCACACTTGATGGGTCTGTTCTCTTCCTTCAGGCAAGTATCATCTTGGCTGTAAGGAGGGGAGGGCTAGAAGCAAACAGAAAAAAGTTCAAATATCACTACATTTGTATTATGCTGTGTTCATCTGTGATTTCTTTCAGTGAAGTGCTTCTTTAGGAAATGTTATCTATAGTGAGGCATTGAAAGCAAATACCTAATTAAGGATTTTCAACAAAATACACAATATAGATATTATTTCAAACAGAAGAGAAAACAGCATTAAAATTAGACAAAACTAGTCATGTTAACTCATTAGTTGATTCAATAAGTGTTTATAAATCATAGCAAAGAATTATACTGGTTTTCATATTCAAAAGTCGAGAAATATCAATTACTATCATCAACAAAGCAAGAAAATATTAATTTGTTAAAACAAGAGATATCTGCTGGAGAAAGCTTGCGACTGACTGACTGACTGACTGACTACCTTAGGCGGAGGTTCCGAGACCAGGCCAATGTTAGGTGTGGAGGCGGAGTGAGCGTACATGTGCTGGGCAGACATACTGGCGGGGGCCTGAAGGAAGAGGTTGGCACTCAGAGATACGATTATGTTACGCTGAAGCTCTTTAGGCACTCAGAGAGGCGACAATATTATGCTGAAGCTCTTCTGGGCTCATTCTAACTTGATATTCTTTTTCTTTTCTATTTTGTTTAACAACCTGGCATAATACTTTCTGATAATCTCTTCAATTCAGTCAAATTAAAGAATTACTCAAGGTGGAGAAAAGGATGTTCAAATTAGTAAAAGGATTTTCAGCCCAAAACATTCTTAAATGCAAAAGTGAGCCCAGTTTTTGCTGTAATGTAGCTGTTTTGTAAGGGTAAGCCTGTAAGCTGTAATATTGGTATTAAAAGAAAGGAATTAATATTCTCATTTGATGACTAGAACTGACAGAGCCACAGTGGCATTGCAGAGGATGAGTCTTGCTTCAGAGAATATGCTTAATTTTACAACATCTGTATCCTGGTTAGTATTTCACTTCTCATAGGTCAAAGAAATTATTAATATTGCAGAAAAAAAACCCTGCAAATTTCGTCAATTTTGTATCCTGTTAGCATTTCATTTCTAAGAGGTCAAAGAAATTACTAATATTACAAAAACATTTACAAGTTTTATCAAATTTTTTAACAATAACAAGTGGAAACAAATATAAAAATTCATGCAGAACAGAGACTGGAGTTCAGAAAAAATTAAAAAAAAGAAATAATTTAGAGAGAACCCTTGCTTTTCTGGTCTTACTCTCATTTTGCTTTTTTAAAAACATGATGTTATTATATATTGTGCATCAAGCAGGGTTATAGATTGATAGATAGTAATTGCTGACATAAACTAGGAAAGAAAAAATATATTACTGGTAAAATTATAGACAGCATAAAAAACAAAAGCCTAATATCATTAGAAGCTCAATATATCAGATTTCATAATCAATGAGATGGTATGAATCACCCAAAGCATTTTACAAAAAGAAATTCAAGCATTAATTAAGGATTTGCTTTATAATTGACACAGACACACACAATTTTACACTGTTCAATTAAAGATGTGTTTAAAGCATAGGTACATTAAGTCATTTGTTTTCTTTTTATTCATAATCATGAATATAGGTTCTATTTGTCAAGCAATGTGAATTATATGCCGTCCATTTGCCAGATTTCCTCAGAACAAATCTCCTGTCACTGATTCTCTTTGAGGAATTCTGGCAGATATATAATAAATTCATAAAAGAAAGGATAAATTCAAGATTTTACACATTTCACATTGCCACAGACAAAAATTACATCAAAACATGAATATTTTCTTTCATTTGATTCACAAAAGAAATACACATAAGCCAGGGGGTATGACCATTATTCCACTGAAAGCAAGGTGAACAGACGGATAACAGCAGGGTTGAAGCTAGCGACCCAAGCATGTTACCATGTGATATTTCTGCACGCTGGGCCGCGAAGAAGTAGGTGTAGACCTGCCACTAACCGGAGGTGATGCTCGGTCTCGATCGAATGAAACGCCAGCTTTCCACGTGCGACTGCTGATGTCCAGGCTGCCGCTGCCAACTCGACTTTCTATCTCTTCTGCTCTCTGCTCGGTGGTCTCTTTTTCTTCTTGTATTAACCTGGAATAAAAGGTGAAAGGTATGACAACTTAGCTTACGTCATGCCAGGTGTTTGGATTTTTTCAAATGTGGAGTCAATGATCACCCACATAAAAGCTACAACTGACTGAAGCACAATTTCAGTTTAATTTCACACACTTAATCATATATTGAAGATAGAAATCTCACTAATATTTTCTACAATTCTTTCCCATTGTAACATTCGTAATCACAATGCTAACAAGACCCATTTATACAAAGATATTTGCTTTCTCCAACATTATCTAATATAAATCAAAGACTGTAAAAATTCTGATGACAAATTGTCCTCAGTGAATAATGCAACCGCAATCTTTTCAAGCAAACATTATGCAATAGTAGTAAAAACTAAGAAATCCTAAAAAATTCTTCTTTCAGAAATAATCTCATCATTGTACAGACATATTGGAATTTTGATATCCATGCCAGAAGAGCACATAACTATTTTTCTCAATATAAACACATACAATGCAAAAGGATCAGCTTCACCCTGAAAAGCCATGCAGAAAACACCATCTTACCTAATTTCATTATTGATAGCATCAAGCTGTTCCTGCAACATCAGCGCCAGTGTCTGTGCGTCTGTATGGCCCGACGGCGACAGCATGTCAACAGCACCAAATATCGACTCCCCGTCGTCTGTCACCTCCGTGTCACTGACATCAAATGCTTGCTGGACATTGGCAATGACATGGGCCTGCTGCAGCTTCTCCCATTCTTGTTCATTCAGAGTATTCACCTGTGAAATAAAAACAGACATAAGAAATTCATTGATCCAGGCATTGTTCTCAAGCACGGCTCAACTGGAGCAAATTTGATTTGATCTAAACTTTGTCAGCAGTGCTAATTGAAAATCAAGCTGAGATTTGCCCAACTTAACTCCGACCATTACATTTACAACTGATCAGAATAATTGAAAAGCATTCAATGGAAAAAAATTCTGATGCTTGTCTAATGCAAGCGAGTGATTTATCAAGACATGTTCTACTCTACTCTAGTGTGAAAACACTACCAAGGTGAAACTCATATAATAAATCAACTTGTACAGCTTGAATGAACATGAAACTGGTGGCATTAAATCTAGGGTAGGGCATTGAAGGCTATCAGGCAAATCTTTGGAGGTTTTACCCCGTGAGTTGACATAATAAGTGATGATGGTTTTAGGATGCTCCAATAATTTCAGATTTTTCTACTGAATATTTGATTACATCAAGAAATTTCAATATATGCAATATGATAAACTGACTGTGGATCTAATTCAACTTAGCTACTCAAGTGTGTGTGTGTGTGTGTGTGTGTGTGTGTGTGTGTGTGTGTGCGTGCATGCGCATGCCCACACACATTCAGGTATTTCATCGTAGGCCTTCAAAGTGAGTGAATCAAAGCCAGTGGAGAGAAAAAAAATAATAATAAAATAAACCGGACTCAAGCTGAAATCCACATGATCCACAACCAGATTAAATGACTGCTTCTCTTGATGTACTAATAGTACATTTTCCGAGTACATGACACCACGTGCTAGCACGCCTCTGTACCACCCACAAGATTTATGACAAATACCAAAATCAACTGCATGAACCCAAGATAAAGCCTTGTTAGTGCTACCTGAAACATGACCTCAAAATTCTGAGAAGTGCGACGGTTCACATCCGACAACACTTTTGTGAGTCACTACAAACGATCCATCTCTTCTAAAAGAGATAAATTACTGGAATACTTCAGCTGTTTTAAACTTGTCAGTTATCACCAAGGATTTTTTTTTTTTTTTTTTGTATTCCAGTACAGATACAGAATTGTGCCATGTACTTTGTATGTTGTCAGTGCATTCTCAAGTGTCCCCAAGATGCCCTAGATGTGACACGTACTGGGATCAAAGGGAGACTGAATCAGGACACTGGCCATACAAGGCTTTATGGCAGTCATGCTCTGACAATGACAATCAATATCTTTTGATGACAAAGAAACCGCATACACACTTCTACTAAAACACCCCATTGTATGAAAATAAGAGGCAAAAACAAAAATGTTCTCCATGTCCTAATAATAATAATCAATAACAGAAATAAAAGAGGTCTTAATTGTATTTTCGATAATTCTTTGTAAATAAATCCATCTTTTAATCTTCAAACCAACGCTCAAACTTCACTTTATGACGGCCGCTTTGATTGATAAAACTGACATGGCTGAGAAATTTGAGAATAAAATGAATAAAATAAGTGAACATCTGCAGCGCTGAAACAAAGCGTCAATAAAATGCCCATGCAGCTAAAACCCCCGAGAAAAGTGAGCCAAGTAAAGGAGAAAAAAAAGTTGCATAAATTTGTTTCTGAGCATGCGAAAAAACTATTGCATTTGTAAATGATATCTTTTATTCAATTATAACACTGATGGCACAGAATGATGGATCATTCAATTCAATAAAAATCATTGCCCAGCTGCCTGTATTATCTTTACATTAAAACCAGGTATAAAATGTGCAATCATTCATTTAAAACAAAAATATAATTTAGTAAGCTGTCAAAAAAGGATGATAATAAGACAGATATTAGATTTTTTCGATGCTGAGTTCTTCAAACATGTACAACTATGGTAGTATGCATGTCATAGACAGAAAGCAAAGCAATCTGAATACATTTGATTCCCACTGTTCTCTCTCAATATAGGACCTACAGACAATATCCACCTACCAAAGAAAATGTTGTGAACCTAACAAAACAGGCCTCAGCTTTTCTTTTCTGTTCTGTTCAAACTGTCACCAATGTCAATCCCAGTTCTATGAATGTGACATTGAGGCACGCAGGGTTCATTTAATGGATGCATGGTACTGAAGAGTGGGGTATCTGACTCATATACTATGACAGATGTTGAGAACATTAATCCAGGTGTGGCATAACTCTCATTCATGCGTCACTTTCCAGCAGGAATGTCTCACTATTCTTCAACTTCGGTCCAAAGAACATTCAGAGTAAAGAATTCTAAGGAACCAAATATATTCAGATTTAAAAAGCAGGCATCTAGAAAGCAGTATGCAATCAAAACAGTTGTAAGCAGAGTGTGGCATACCCGCTCTCTATAGTTAGGCTCCTCAAGGTGGCCAGGGTTTTGCACCTACAAAACGATTATTGGGATTATCTAACACAGGAACTCTATGTGACAGTAAGAGGTTACTACTGTAACAATATCAACAACAAAAAACAACAACAACAACAATGGCATAATGTTTGAGATACCTTCAGGTTTACTTCATATGAGCTCCAGGAATGAGTGGAAATTTCTGAGATTAATCTGAAGGTATCGTCTTGAAACACATGCAATAAAACTGGTTTCTATTTCTACAGGTCTAACACTAGGTTCCAAACAGCCTGAAAAAATGCTCAGATCAGAAATGAAAGTGGGAATTTAGAAAAAAATTTTGAAATATGCGCATTATTTTTCAATACATTTTTTATAAATATCTGCACTTCAGGACAAATTTGGAAGACTTTCATCTCTGCCAATGACACATAATCCGAGTCATTTTTGTGATTAGCAGGCTCTTTTGATTCTAGTGCAATGAATGACAAAACACTCTATATTCTAGCTAATATATTTAGGAAACTGAAGCAGCAAAACACTCAAGTAGTCTTAAGATGATATATACAGTACACAAACAAAAATGCAGGTTATTTCTATTAGCTATAATTCCAGCCCTAGGAATCTAGCAAACTGCAGTTTTCTATTGGCATCACTGCTGTGCTATGTTGATGCATTAGAGCAGTTTGCAGTATCAACCAACAAAACTTCGTGCAAAACTCTCATAACTTGTTGAAGAGAAATGTCAGTGTGAAAAAAAAAGCAGGCTTACTTAAACAATTGACATTTCACTAATTTAAAAGCACTTAAATCAATTCACCTGGTTGAACAAAGAACTTTTCTGATTGATTAAACAAAGTAAGGTTTGTAATAACAGTGACAGACTTGTGCAGGAAAAAAAATGAAAAATGATAGCAATTTCTGGTCCCTGGTGAAAAAGAATGGATTACATAATGCTGCTCATCTAAAAATACAACAATGGGTATCATTTATTACAACTGTCAACAACAACAACAACAACAACAATGCAATACTGTGATCAAACTACCCGAAAAAGAACATACTTTAGAAGGATCTTCCTCCACTGATTCCTGTCGACCTTTCTGTTGCCGTCTGACGACATCGTCTGTTGATGATTCTCCAGTGGTGGCGTTGTTGATGACTACATTGGGAGTGAGTGGGTAATTCCCTGTCACACCGAGCCTGAAAATGTAAATCAACATGGCCTCAGTCTAAACTTGTGCAGCAGTAGACAAGAAATGCAATTTCTCTTTTCTCGTAAAGAAAGAGGTTTTCTCACAAATTCTCATAAAGAAAGAGATTTACTCTCAAAGAAAGATGTTCAGTAAAAAAAAACACTCAGCTATTTATCTTGAACAAAAATATTAACAGTAAAATTATATATTATATAAATCAAGTTTTGCAGAGAAATGGCTAGACTAAATGTAGAAATTGTGTACATTAAATCAAGGAGAAAAAGAATAACATTAAGACATACTGCAAAACTTTATGCAGTCCGATTCTTTATTTCTTGCTTCCACTATAAAGCAAACTGAATCATTTGAAACTTCATTCTATACCTGGTAATTTCTTCTACCCTTTGCTTGTATACTAGTAACTCTCTTTTAATCCTGTCTAATTCTTCTAATATTGCCTCCTGCAATGAGACGTTGTGTTGAGTTATTTATGTATAGTAACATGTTTTTCTATAACATCAGTGGATAAGTTATGAAAAAATTAGGCAAAACACTTGTACTAATTTGAATCAAGCCTAACATTAATCTTTTATCACACCAAAGAATGTGAGGCTGCTAAAATCAGTTCTACGAAAATAAAATTAAAAAAAATAATTAAAAATTGACTTGTAAGAGGATACGTTTTTTTTTTACTACTTAACCATCTGCATACCAAAACATTACATTTATGTATAAATATTTTAATACCAAATTTTCATATGCCAATTGTGACATCCCACCCTGAACAGATAATACATCTGACTCACTCAATATTTTATCTCAGTCACCCAGGCCATTGTTTGAAGTTTTAACACCCTCAAGAGAATACACCCCACGTACGATCAGCTTAGAAATACATTGTGCTTATAGCCAAGACTGAGTGGATTTTAAGCAGGCCAATTTGGGAATAATTTTTTCTGATGGTGATCCTTTAAAACTGTAGATACAAATAATGTGTTTTTAATCTTTGTGATGTCCCAGGGGGGGATAGAAATCCTTGATAACATGTATGCCAGGAAATCAACTTGGGCACCTAAGAAAAATGCCTGTTACAAAGTCCTGTCTTTTTAATTTTGATTAATCAGGACAGACAAACAAAATTTCCTGTTTTCGAAAAAAATTTATAACCTTGTTTGTGGGCGCTTGCATTACACATGCATCAAGAAAGACTAGCGTGATTACCTTTTCTAATTGTGCTTCTTCATATAATCGTCTAACCCTGTCTAGTTCCTGAGTAAGCTGATTTTTTTCTTCTAGAGCTTGCATTCTTTCTTTTAGATGCAACTGTAGCCTCTCATTGGACTCAGACAATAGTTTATCGACAGTTGCAGATAATCTGGCATTATGCTCTTCGTTCATCTTTTCCCGCTGCCTAGCCTGAAAAGTTAATTTGGTATTATCGCTGAACAAATTTTATAAACAACAAGGTCAGGACAGAAGGTAAGAAATACACAATAGTCCACTTGCCTCAGGATAATATTCATTTTTATCTGACAAAATGAAGTCACATCTAGCTCTTGAAGTATTATTTAAATAATGAGCTAGTCTCAATATAAGGTAAATGGCCACCCTTGGCTGGTGGGAGAATATTTGGATTTCTACACCCAAAAATATGGCAAGAATAGATGTGGAGTAAAGGAAAATAAAACAAAATTTCATAAAAAAAACTCCAATCTGTGTCAACTGCTTGCTTAAAAAAACAATAGCATTCAAAGTGTTTTGTTAAAAATATCTCCCCTCCCCTCAAAAAAAAAAAGTTAATTATCTGAATCACAATCCAGTGAAATGAAGAAAACGTGACAAAATGAACTGCAAAAGCCTTATAAATGCTCATTATGCAGTATTGATATTCAGTCAAAAAAACAGCTAAGAATAAACACGGTTCATCACAGCACAGGAAATTAAAAACATACCTGTCCTCATCAGAAACAAAACTGATCTATAAAAAGTAATCTATAAAAATTGATCAAAGAGGCAAATAATTCAAGGAGAAAAAAAAAAATGACGCAAGGAGATGCACCGAAGCATGTCTTAAAGAAAACACAAATACGTACCCTTTGTATTTCTGAGTTCTTTTCTTCAATTTGATTTTCTAAATGCTTCAGTCTTTCTTCTATAGACCCATGCTTTTGCTCAGCCTGTTTAAAGATAGAGATGTCCATAGCAGTGACTAGATGAGAAAACATTCCAATGACAAGTGTTGGCAAGCACATGCATGAGTTCAGGCATGACTGGGGCTTGGACAGTCTGTGATGTTGACCACTGGTCAGACTACCAATGCCAGTAAAAATTGAACCAGGGCCAGTGAAATTTCTGAAGAACAGTCAGTTATTGGCCCAACTGGGCAAGTGTTTTTTTGGTTTGATTTTTTTTTTGTTTTTGTTTTTTTTTCAGCTGTAATAGGTACTTATTTCTTTTAATAAATGTTCAGACAATATGGTGAAGTTTTTTTAATCACCCTTCGAAAATCCCATTTTTTTATGTTCTTATTTGTAATAGGAAGCACATTTAAGCTCAGTGTGTCAATTTCAGTAAATTTTTTTGATAATTGGACTTGGACCAGTGAACTTTGGTTTTGGTCAGTAAATTCTCAGAACCTGGTGGCCCAAAGGCCTGTAAGTTGACAAGTATTTGGCACAGACTGCTTGTGGAACACTTCATTCTTCAAATTTCTAAAATAACTTAAAACTCTCGCCCTCCAAAGTTTTCTAAATTAATTGCTTTCCATTAACAGTTTTCTACTTAGAGTTTATGATCTGCAGCAAAGAGAAGAAGCATAAGTTCAAGTGTTTCTCATATGCATGTGAAAATCTTCTGCATTCCTGATCAAAATCAAAACAGAAAACCAGAAGGACAATCTTTACATGCTTCCAATGTTTGAAAAGTATTAACAAAAGTTTTATTTTATGAGCACTACGAAAATAAATATCTAGATTATAATACTCTCCAAAACATCTTCCAAAGTGCTACAATCACGTTATATGTTAAATGTTATTTTAATGCATTTGATCATTGCTGTTGCATTAAAAAAAAAAACATTTCTAAACAGACTGTTGTGTTTAAACCTGTTGCCATGACAATGAATTTAATGAACCAATCAGATCCTTACCTGGGACAATGCTTCTATTCTTTGTGCTAATTCGGCCTCTATGGTGGGTACCACCTCTGCTTTTCGCAATGATTGTTGAAGTTTTTGTTCTGCAAGTTCCACACGCTCTTGTAGCTGGCGACATTTTTCTTCACTCTGCAGTCAAAACAATACATTTTTAATTGTTTTTCAACAACCCAACAAGTAAACCTTAAGTAAACAGATTTCTGTTAATTAAACATTTTGCCATTTCTATAATATATTCTATTCCAACTTCCTTCTTAATATATTATTCATTCAACTATATAGGAATGTATTCTGCAAGAAGTACAAATGTTCGACATAAATGCAAATCATTGTTATCTTCTGCCATCAGACATGTTTAAACACGATATAGGAAAATTACAGGCCGAGATACAAAAGCTACCAAATTACCAACAAGCCATTATATGAACATCTCCTCCATATTCATTGGGCTATGGAGACATGGCTGCGGTGAGATTGCTGGACTATTTATGGTTAGACTGCAGGAAATCAATTAGGGTCTAAACTGAGGATCTGCCTCGCTATAGCCATAAGCATGCTGATAATGTGCAATCTACAAAAACATGGCTACATGGCCCCATAACAATGACTCCAGGTTGCCATAGTGACCAACACGTTAAAGGGGGGGGGGCATGAGTCCTGAATCATCTCTTCCAACGTTCTCTAACATCTCTTCTGTACAGCGTTTTGCTCTTCTTATTTCTTTATTTCATTTCACAATTTTTCATCTGCACTTTAAGTCGGTATAGTACTGTGAAGACTTCGGGAGCAAAGAAAAAAAAATCTCATCATTGCCTTCACCTGACTGGTTTGATCCTCATGACAGGTGAAAGCCATTAAAACCAACTTGCAGCATTTATCCCAATGTGCTTACTGCCATTTATTGTTAGTGAAAAGGAACTCATAGCCATTACTGGCCTGTAGGTGTGTAATAAAATCCCAATCAATGATAGACAGTAGCATCAAAGAAACGAGACAATGAAACCATCAGAAATTTATTGAAAAATGCGATAGGATTGTGTAATGCATTTTATTGAAAGCATAAGGGTCGCCTATCAACTGTGCAAAGCAGATTAAACTGAAACTGAAGTCTAACATCGAAATGATGGGCCATTACGCCCTCTTGAATCACCGATGATATCAATTTATTATATATTTCATTGGGGATGTGTACTATTCCCAAAATACATGTGCATGGCCCATCAAACAAGCAACAAGCTTCAGATAACATTGTTTTGTCATTGAGCAAGGGAACCATATACAAAAAAAAATGGTTGCATCTGTTTGTGGTTTTCCGGGGCTCTTTATTTCTTCTGGTTCATAATCCAAAGTATCTGATTGCATGCTGCTTTATTGTGTGAGATCTCCAAGTTATCTATCTCACAAAACCAAAGGTAGGCGTTATAAGGTAATAACCTAATGGCGGTCTCGCCAGAGGGTACCGCCACTGCCCACATTTACGTACACTCTCGTCATATCTCACCGTAGTTTCATCACAAATTGTGAACCTTCATTCTGCGGTAGACCATAATAAGACATGGCACTGTGTGACATCTTATATTACCTGCTGTTGTCATCTTGGAACATTGCAAAAGGTTTTCTTTGCTTTTTCCAAACTGTGCCAGTCCGAAGCCAATTTAAGATGGAAATTTTGTCCTAATAATTCTTATACTTCTAATTTTTAAGGGTAACAATTTTTACTCGGTATTTATCATTCAGCAGTGTCTTTTTTGACATTAAATTTTAAACTCATTTTAGTCTTATCTAAATTTACAGCTATTATTATTTATTTATAAATATATATAAATTTAATGCTAGATCTTTCATGGACACTACACTTCTGCATTGCAGTAGAAGCCAATATGTCTCCTCTTTTACTTTTATCAAAATTGAATAAGAAAGACTGATTAAATCTGAAAATTCCTGTTTCCAATCATCAAATAAAGTCAAATTCTTACTGGTTTCTAACAGTGACATCTCTTTGTTTATGGCTGCCATTTGGCAACAAGGCACTGAATAACTTGTTTGACAACATTCTATTTTCTGTTCAGGTGTCAAAATAAAAAGTTTGAAAAAAACATGTTTTTCACAGTCAAGGACAGCACTGTAGAAACTCCCACCTGTTTCCAACTGGCTTCTTTGGAAGCCAATTCGGACTCTAATTTATCGTTCAGATCTTGGACTGAGGTCGATTCTCGCTGTGCATTGAGGTATCGCTTTTCTAATGTAGCTATTCTTTCTTCCTGGTCCTCTCTTTGGGCATGGGACTAAAAGGAAAGAATTTTTTTAAAAAATCATTTTGGTACTCAGTTGCATTTATTTTCAGAATAGCTCAACCAATATCTACTTAATAGTAGTAAGCAATTGAAATATAAAAAATACACGAATCCATAAAGCAACAGAATGACAACTATCAGAGGGGAAAAAAATTAAATCATCTTTTTCTGTTAATTTTCAAACTTTCAAGCATATCATGGGGTTTCTTAGAAATTCGATGTCAAAGTCAACATCTCCTGAAGAGACAAACATGAAACCCAACGCCTTGAAAAGGTCAATAATGAAACCTCCTTATTAGCACCTGATATGAACCAGGTTTTCCAGTCATCCGTATCAATGAGAATACTCACTGAAATAACAGGCTAAGATCACTAAAGTGATTGCAAGTTGGAGTACTTTTAGTTGTAAGCCATCTGATGGCTTCGTATTCAAATGCAGCCAATTTATACAACAATCTTAGTATATATTGAAGGTCATACAATATCTGTAGGATTCTAAAGATGCATTGTAAATGTTTTCTTCCAAATATAGTTCCTTCAACAAACAAAGACCATATTCAAGTTACAAGTTCAGGATCTCATTTCTGAGACTGAAGTTGCTATTTTCAGCAAGAAGTGTCATAACTATTGATGGTTTCGCTCAAAGAATTACACAGCTACATGTTTTTTCCATTTTTTCTTCAAGTGGTATTTCATTCTTTCAAAAAAAAAAAGCATAAACCTCTCAAAATAGACCCAATAATTGATGAAATATTACTGAGGGACTAAACGAGGTGAAAATGACTTCAGCAAAACAGTGTGCATTACAAAAGGCCAACCTGCAGGCAATTTACCTATCGAAAAAAAAAAAAAAAAAAAAAAACAGCCAGGTCGCAAGGGGATAGAAACAGGGGATGGTGGGTTTCTCCAAAGTCAATAATAACTTCCAATAGGCTAATATTTCACATCTTTATCAATGCAGAAAGCATACTGGAATCCAGGGGCTGATACTAGCACACACAGATCAATACAGGTCTTCACGAGTTTAAACTCCAGATCCGTTCACATTACAAAAAACGAAATTGGTTTTAAAGTGTTCCGTTTCTAACATTTATCAGTCGTGTGCTGCCATGCCCCAAAACAGTCCAACCCAACATGACCAAACTGGTACCATTTAGGTGTCCTTCTGCTGGTCTGGTGATCATGGCATTACATTACATCAGGAATGGCAGAATCAGACCACCTCATACTTTTTCTGCAATATGACCAGACACCATTGTAGCCACATTCATATGGCTTACCATTGTGATGAAACTGAATTGATTAAAATGGGAGAGTAACATCAATTATCTATTAACAACTCCACTTTGAGATGAATGGAAAAGGTCATATGGAAATGAAGACCTTGCCTTATTTTTCTAGATCTACAAATCATTTCTGGCATTTTTAATCTGATTATTTGGACTGAGCTTGATCCGATATTCCAAAACTGAGCCCCCCCCCCCCCCCAAAAAAAAGGTAAAATTTACAATTTACATAACATTTTTTTGTTTTTATGATGATGACCATGATAAATGCTTGAAAAACATCATTTCAAGGCCCACCAGTAAAAACTGTTGCTCACAAAGACCATAAAATATAAAATGTTGAAGCTTCTCTTTTTACAAAATTTCCAGAGATTAAAAAAAAAAAGAAAACCAATCACTGCCCTGAACTAAACTTAAAAGAATGTTAAAGTATGCTGGTTTATAATCTAGTTATCAATAATGACGTGTCATCCTCACTGCATGTGACACGAGCACCTCTTGGGAGGATAATCATGTCACTGAATCTGACACTTATCATCCGTGTCACCAGACATAGAACATTCCTTCCTAATCTCCATGGCAACCTGCTGCATTACCAGCATCCCCTTTGTCGTAGTTATGAATCTCTACGTCTACCTTCAGAGGACTGAACCAAGTTAGAGCATCTTAATGCTATTATCTTTAAGACTATGGAATAACGGCCTTTAAAATAGTAACTAATCTGTGTTAATTGTGGTAAGGAATAAAAAGAATTATGCTATTACATTAAATAGGCTCTGGATTGACAATTTTGATTGCAATTAATCTGGATGGTGCTCAGCATGTGTTAAATTTTGGTAAGGAAAGTGGATTGCAAGAGTTTAAAACAAACTTTGAGTAAAACTTCATCTTGTTTTCAATGGATAGGACAAAATCCCACATTCGTTTTGGGTTTAGTACATCAATTTTCATTAAATTAGTTTTTTACAAGGCAATATTAAAACTTACCTCCCGTAAATCTCGCTGTAGTTTCACATTGGCCTCTTGAGATTTAATTAGATCCTTTTGAGTCTGTGCTAAAGTAGCTTCAACTTCTTTCAGTTTATTAGATATTTCTAACAATTTATTTCTCGTTATTGTTAATTCACTGTTCTGTTTTTCAACTGTCTCTTGTAGTTCTATTACTCTATTTATTTCGGAGTCTGGATCTATCGAACCATTGGATAATCTCTGAAAAACAAATAACATAAAAATATAGAAGATTTATATGAAAGGTGTAAACATTTTAAAAATGATAAAATGACCGCACTTTTTTTACAATTTCACATTAAAGGACCTTGAAGGATATAATGAAAATACAAATACATCATCTCTATTAAGTATAAATCTTTGACAATATAACAGTGTTTGCAATAAACCAAAATATCCCTGTCACTTAATGTATGGCAAATCAAAATATCATTTCTCCACCAAATACAAAACAATAGTGATTTTCTCATACTTTCGAATAAGAAAATCAGCATACAGATTGCATTCTGATCATGCAATCAATCACCACAAGCTAGAATCAAACTGCCATAATGCGCCTAGACAAACTGTGTATTCCACTTATGGAAATTATTCACAAATTGATCAGCAGAGGAAGAAATTACGAGGTAAAAATATCCCTCTCTGAGAAGAGAATGATGGAACATTTGATTTGTAGTGCTGGCTAATATATTGAGGATTAAAAAGAAGAGACTCGGCCTTTCTATCTGCAGGAAAGAGGGGTAAAGCAACAAGACCTAAAGTTTTGAGATAAACATCCAATTTTCATCTTACATAATCAGAGGCCTTTTGAACAGTTTGAAAAGGTCAATTAAAAAAAAGCAACACAGAATAGCAATCCTTAAAATTACATGGTAAGAGAAATTCAATGCATAAAGCAATGAAGAAACTAGGGCATTGACCTAGAATTCTCAGAAAAAAAGGTGACACACAATACGATGTAACAGTACAAGCATAACATCTTGTCATAAGGTAACACTATCTCCAACTTCATTAGTTTCTAGAGCAGTCTGAAGGAAAACATGAGGCCTAACTTAATCACATTGTGGTGTGGATAATCATGTGACAACAAAAAGTTTCTCTTCGTGTGGCATGCTCTCATAATGTTCTCTGGGAGTCTGAACGTAAAGAATTCAATTCCTTGGTAAACTAAGCTAGTAATCTAGGACGTAATCTTAACCATGGAGCTCATCCCACAGTGAGTATCCCCATAACATGCTGCATTGCTACATAGAAAGGTCAAACTGAAATTTAGAGCCCCCCTAACCCTATTTAATTAGTCCTGGGTGCACGAGTGACTGCCCACGCCCATGCAGTTCTGATAATCAGAAATCTATTTTTTTCTGATTTCACATTGTCAAGGTAAAATTGGCTCACACAGACTTTGGAAGAACAATTTAATCTGTTTTTCTTTTAAGCTGCAACATATTTTTTCATTATTTTAATTATGGAATTTCACATTTCACACAAACTGATATTAGTTTCTATAAGAATAAGCTTAACAGACTTGGATCTAAATTGTTGTTCCATATTTATTTCCTGGCATTTCTAAAAGTATTCATCTATTTTAATAAAGCTGCTTTTGTCTGCCCATAACAATAGGTGATTTCTGCCTGATGTTGCCTAATCACAATTTCATTAATTCAGGCCAATATGTGGGTAGTTCTCCCTTGTCGATCAGTGCTTTTCTTTCTTTCTCCACTCTCTTCTGTCAGTTCCATTTTAATAGAAATTTCAACACTGCACACAAACTGATGCCATACAGATGCATTTGTGAGTTACAGTCCACCCGACTGACACAATTGAGCCAAGGAAAAAAAGTCCAAATTATATAAGTAACATAATGACAGATGTCGAAACAAAAGATCCAGATCAGGTGTATCTTGCATACACGCATGAATGCACATTACGCCATGGGTCTTATGCCCTTGACATCTGATGTTGTGCAAGTAAGATACACCACTTGAATGCACTTGTTCTACAATGTCAAATACACCTGGCTGACTTCCATATTGGGTGGAAGTTGTAAAGACTAAAATTCCTAAGAAAGTAGCTTGGAATGTCTCATTGCATTTAGAAGATATGAAGAAAGAAAAAAAAAACAACAATCAAAATGAAGATGAAAAATCCTGAAATCAGGCATAATTCTGAAAACTTTAACCCATGGACTTGTGGTGTATCTATTTTGATTAATATCGTCTTTTTTTTTCCTACTTTCTACGACAATTTTGTGAAAAGAGTGGAGTCAGTAGGTCCTGTAACCCTGTCCCCACCTAAGGAAAAAGTTGCATTAACTTTACCTTAGGGTACGCCTCCTTGTTGTCGCCATCTTTGTTATTCTCAGATCCCATTTTGACAGCTTTTATTTCCTCTCCGCTGGAGTGCCGCGATTTGGCCTGCTGTTCTCGCAACGTAAATAGCTAGAAAAGAGATGATTGCTATTGTGTCAGGACAAGCTCATTTGAAAGATTTCAAGGAAAATTTGTTTAAAGAAATTGTGAATAAGTGTTTAAAGAATTTGTGAATAACAAAAGATGTATATAAAAAATACATAGTGCTTAAACGTCAAAGGAAATTTGTTTAAAGATCCCTAGTTGAAGAATGTTATTTATGTTCTTAACAGACATAAGATCATGCAGGGAAAAATTAACATTTAATTACAGTAAATTTATAGTCTCTTCCATGAAACGCACTTTCTGCACACTCCACTTCAAAGAGTTTACAACATAAATCTAGTTAGCACGCTTGAATTTTCTATAATCTGCCACGATAAGTGAATTTATCTTGGAAGCAGATTCTATTACCATGCAAAACCCCTGTGACCTAACAAGGAAACTTCTGGAAATTTTCTACCGGCCATTTCCCAAAGAACTTGGGGAAATTATTCTGGCCTCTTGGGGCATTGGGGGAATGAGGCCTCAATGAGGCCAAGACTGCAATATTGTTGTACAAACTGTGCTGGTTGCTTTGCAAAAGAATTATCAAGATTTACTCAACTTCTAAGGCAAAGTGCTTTATCTATCCTTTACCACTAATAAGATTTTTTTTTGCATTCCGACAAGAAACTCCTAACATTTTCAAATGGTTTTCTACAGCCCTGTGCAAGAGGCTCATCTCCCTGTACAGACTAATGATACACTGAGCACATAAACAAGTAACATTCTACAGTCATGTGAAAGAGGCTCATGCATATTAAGATCAATCTTCAGGTGATCAATAGATTTTTCAAGTGGCTTTCTACTGCCCTGAACAGGAGGCCCTCCATCCCTTAATGTTAGTGCACATACACTCAATACAACTTTAAGTGGTTGTAAAATCAAGCATGTAATTCCAAGGCTAACAATTCCGCCTTTTAGAAAAGGCGGCAAAATTGACTGGAGATGGCGGTGCTACTTGTTAACATGGTGTAAGAAAGTACTCGAAAGTGTATTTCTTGTAGCCATTAGCCGCCTGTGCACTAGTTTAAAAGGTAAACCACTCCAGGTCTGAAACACTGTCACTAGAAAGCTGGCGCAAACTATTAATGAATTTCGAAGAGGTTGTCTGAATTATGGAAGGATTTCTCTGTGCAGAAACCAGTTTTTTTTGTTTTTTTTTTTTGGAAAATGTCCCAAGGCACCTGAGACTACTGAATCACTTGCTGCACTGGCCACCTGGTAATGCATATGCAACCCGAAATAACTAAAACTTGTACCAGTCTGAACGTAGGCTGATAAAAAAAACCTGTGAGGCAAAATTGATTGTATTCAAATGTTAATACTTCAGTTATTTCTGTATACGGCAGGTTTAAGAGAGTTTTGGCTTTGGGGCATCTCATGAGAGGATTCTTGGAAATTCGAGCAAAATACCTGCTAATAATAAACCTGTTACATGAATAACACATTATGCCTAAAACCTGAAGAGAGGCCATTTATCAAAAGCCGTAGTTTGTTTTTTTCTTGACAGCATCTTACCACAAATGATAAACAAAGCTTTAAAGAGGCAAAATGCCTCTTCTCTTTCCCTTCACTAGTAATATTCTATTAACAAAACTTGAAGATACTTGTGACACTCATAAAGTACAAGTCCAACTCTGTAATTGGCTGTCTTGTGTATACTTCCCAATATGTAACATACCTCCTGATTGGCTGTGGCTAACTCCTCTTCTAACTGGGACACTCGGTCCATGGCAACCTTCAATCTCTCTCGAACCTGAAATTACAAGAAAAAAAATTAAGAAACTTCATTTCATCAGAGGATGCAACTTGCACACTTCATCTCTCAGAAAGTGCTAATGGCACAATACTACCACACTAATAAATGAGAGCTTTTCTCCATTTTCATCTGTTTTTATGGCCGCTGCTCGCAGGAAGTGCTCCTCACAATAATCACGCAAACTTCGTTTACTTGGTAACAAATTGTTATCATAACACCACTGGGCTGCCATTAAACCCAACTTATTGTCTATGGATTAAGTTTCCTAACCCAATTATGATGATGAAACAGTATACAATGTCTAATAGCGAAAAAAAAAAAGTTCAAACCTTGGAAAATGGAACAAATCCACGTAGATACAAGCACAAGCCCATGATGCTCCAGCAGATAAAAATATAACTTCAAACTTTCAGGTGTTTCTTAACCAGGGCACCAGAACAGCAGTGCACATATGCACTACACCATTTAATGTTTTGTAATATTAAAGGAAAGTGCCTGAATAATGGTTCCTATTCCTCAGGGGTGCATGTTCACGTTACTTTCCATCCCAACATTTAACAAATTAATCCGTTTGAATTCCTGTGAACAATCCAGTCTGGTAATTACGACAACATGCTACAATATCTACCTGGGACCGGCACGCAATATCCGCTACCAATGCCCATTAGTGTAATTTGTATTATATTGTTTTCAGCATTAAATAATTAATACCAACAAAACCCACCTGTTCATCATATATCTGGGAGAATCAATTGTTAGATTGGCTGTGCCATGCTAAGTAGATTACGGTTGTGTTCACATCGATGATCATTTGGATAGGTCCAGAACCAAAACCAGCAAGAAACAATAAGAGCAAGCTAGGGCAAAGGTACTAATTTCTCTATCATTTCTATACCTTTTCTTTAAGTGGTTCAGTTTTGTTTTGCCTTTGTCACCAAAAAGGGAGCAATGACACCGTGGACAATGATAAAAACAGTCACGTGTCAAATTCAATAAAAAAAAATTTGGTAAGACGAAACAGTCAACAGTAACAAACTGGAGTACAATTCTATCCAACAAAACTGCACAATTATCAATTAAAATCCATTTTAAGGCCAATCAAATGAAATTCTGTAGGGCACGCTAACTGCAATATTTGCCAAGAAACTGAGACCGATTGCTTAAGAACACGCCATGACCCCAGGGATGACCAAATGCCAACCAATTCCTCCAGGTTGTGTAAACTCGCAGGATGGGCACAGAAATCCTGCATAACCAATCCAAATTATTGATACAGAACAGTGCACAAGTCAACTGCAACTGGAGTCCACTGGGACTCGAGTTCAATAAACATATAACCAAATACAATTTAATCATAAAGTGGGGTTCCTACACAGCCATTTATATTAATAAGAAGGTTAATTACTCATGCAAACGACAATGATCACCTGTTTTCACCTGCAATTTGTTATTTTCCAAAGAGATAAGAAAATGCCACAAATGTAACAAAAAGACGCTTTTTTAGTGTTTGAGTAATATAATGCAAATGCACTATGAGACATATAAAGAAAGCACAGGCCCCAACTGGCCATGGAGGTAAGAAACAGAATATTTCAGAATTTTGGATGATGTATAAGAAAATGTTTTGAGAGCATATTATCAAACAAAGCACATGCTTTATGAGATGTTGTCATTACTTGGTTTTAATCACAGACCTGCATAACAGAAAGTATGCGAAGTGTTGTGTTTTATCCCATAAATGACAAATTGATTGAAATAAACTTACTGAAACAAAAATCCATGTGAGAGTAGAAACCTGTTTTGCAGGGATATAATTGTTATAAATTAAGGAAAAAATTGTAGGAAAAATTGTATGAAACACCATGTCCAAAGAACGTAACAAAAACAAGGCTTTCTCCAGAGAGCAGTCCAGTCTTCATTTGAATGGGCATTAGCCTCAAAAGACGACCTATATTTCCAAAGACAGCTGGACAGCTTACAAAAATTTCGGGTTGGTTGGTTGTTTGGGCTTGCTTTGGGTTGGACTCTGTAAATCAATGCCTAAATTACAGATTCACAATGTGGAGTTCCTGTACCCCAAATCCTGAGGAAACCCCCGCACAAGAAATATTTTCCCAACAGACAAATAGGCTTCATTCATTTTAACACTGTTGCTTGTGATCCTATATTGCATGACATCACACTGTCTGGTTTTAATAACCAGCTAGTAAACAGAAACCTTACATCATCGTAAGCCTAATCAACTATATTCCTGAAATCCTGTTCTAAAATGCATCTTTTACTGTTTAAGTGTAGGCCCAAAACATGACATCACGCCACGAAAGCTGCACACAACTTACATTTCTGTTTCACCACTTGCGACATTGTGGTACGAATTTTGAGACAGAAAGTTAAAAAAAAAAAAAGAAAAATAAAAAATTCAACTAAAAAAGATACCCAAAAGTCTACTACAGAGGGTGCATTTCATCACATTTACATATTTTCCTTTTTATGTCAGTAAAGCAGATTAAGATGAACACTGAGGAATATTCCGAGGGTGGATTGATTAGTTTTGCCATCTGCCTGTTTTGTTTCCATCTCACACACTGAGTGAATCTGATATACAAGTATCCATCTCCGCAGTTCTGTGAGAGAAAGCTTAATTTAGGCCTTATTTAGAATAGAGGACTAACTAGTCCGAGGGTCAAATATGGCCGACCCACTTGAATACTTCCCCACGGGGTATCTATTCAGTTTCTATTAGTGGATTAGACGGCAGGCTTTGTAGTGGGTCACTATATTTGACCCTCGGACTAGTTAGTCTCCTATTCTGAATGGGGCCTTACTCTCTACTGACAAGAAAAAGAAATGATATGTTAATCATACCTCGGTGACCGCCAGCAGGAATCTTAAACAATTTACTATTAATAAATGTCCCTCAACTCCCTCTATAATTTCCCTATTTAATATAACCCATTAAGACCAATTTGAAAAAGTTGATATTTCTACCATCAAAAGGTATTTGTCCTCTTCAGTATGACTTACTTCTCCCCTCCCCCATGTTAGTGATATCCTGGTTCATAAACATCTTGTTTACAATGTCTACAGCATATTCAAAATTTAGCTTTGTGACTCCATTCCTAGTTTAAAAAAATTACACTGACCCCATTCAGAATGGATGATCCGAGTACTTACTGATCCGCTGACTAAATATGGCCGACCATAGTTCAAAAGGGATATAACTGATTCCTGAAGGCCTCCACACGCGCCATCCCTGCAGGGGCCAAGCAATTAAACCTCGGAGAAGAGATTTTATATGTTTAAAGGCCCGTGTGGAAGCAGGGAGACCATCAGGAATCAGCCGCATTGTTCCTGAACTGTGGTCGGCCATATTAAGTCGGCAGATCAGTAGGTACTCGGATCATCTATTCTGAGTGGAGCCATTCATTGTTTACAAGTACTAACACGTCTACTTCTACTTCTAGGCCTCTCTGGTACCCAATCTAATGTACACCTGTTAACCTTTCCAGTTCTTAATCTAGAACCTGCCAACCAAGTCAAAAACTGGAATTAAAAATCAATTGTTATACACATCACACTGCATTAATGAGGTGATCAGACATTTCGCACTTCCACATAATTGTAAGGCAATGAAGAGAAGTGGCAGAGGCCAGGGGAAATTATATGTATGTTTTGGATCAACTTGCTGGAAATCAAGAAGTTAGGTTGTATGAATGGTAAAACATTTTTCAAGGAAGTGATATATTTTTACCTCTAATTTTGCTATTTAAGAATTTCACTCTAAATCAAGAATCATTATTGCAAAGCTATATTGGTCAATAGAGTTGGCCAACATCCAATCAGCTCTTGTTACACATAACCAGGTACATCTTTTTTTTTTTCTCTTTTATTAAGAGTAAACCAAGGTAACATGCCTATGTATTATGAGTGCAAATGCAAATATGGGGCAAAAGAATGAAGTGAAAGAATATCATTCACTGAAGCCTTTTAAATTTGTCTTGGTTCATGTTATAATTTTAGGGCAACTCGAAAATCAAACATTTCTTTTCATTAGTCCTAATCTGCTGTTAAGCCGATTTCAAAATTGAACTGTCATATCTACTCAGACTATAGGTCTGATTAATGATTTATACTTTTCTTGCACTTTCCCTCCAATGTTTAGTACATTCATGATCAATTAAATCATATATATATTTTTTTTCTGTGCATGCTGGATACAACATCTGGGGTAGCGCTAACACTTGCCAATTTAGCCAAATGCTAAAACTTACTTAAATTGGCTAAAGAAAAAGGGCTTGATTTGACTTGTTTTAGTCAAATTATAACCATTTTGATAACAAATTAACCAAAAAGTGGTGATTTGGCTAAGCGAAAAAGATTGCTAACACTACCCCAGAACAAGCTATCTGTAACTGAATCCCTGATGTCAAATGTCACTGACCTACATCTATAACCGTCATAGCGCCATTAACCATTTAGCTTAAACCACAAGGACATGTAAGTTCTCAATTATTACTGCAGTTTTTATCAATCCCCCATTAGCCCATTAGCTTACTTTCTGACATGGCTAGTTGATAGTCGTGACACAGAACGGCGTTTTATGATGATAAGTCTAATTCAGCAAGATAAAAAAAATTGTGCCATCTTTTGAGGGTGTATTTGCATTTTTTTTTTTTTTTTTTTGATTTGGAGGGATTTTCAATAAAAGAGTTATATAAATTTTTACTTTTAAAACATATAATAAAAAAAATAATCTAAATTCAGTGGGTTTGAGTCAAGGCACTTATTATTCTGAGCTTATGCTACCAAAGGCCAGTGTCACAAAGAGAGCACATAACCTACAAATTAAGTGGAAGAGAAATAAGTGGCTTCCATTTGGCTTGTTGGGCATTTCTGTTTGGCCTCAGACAGTGGGTAGTTGAGAGATAATCAATAGTTACAGGATTTTAGACATATTGTGAAACTGGTGAGAGGCAAAAAAGATGTACATACTTAAAAGTTGAAGCTATGCTGAAATGTCAAGGGATCTTAACACAATTTTTTCAATTGAAAGGGCCTATACTACAATTAAAAGCTTAGAAGTTTCTTAGCCCCTATCTTTTATCTATCTCCAGGTGTAAGACAACAATCTGTGTCAGTTACCAGATAACAATAAAAAGGACTTTTCCAGAAATTTTTTCTTTTCACTTCCAATCTTAATAGACTAAAAAAAACCTCACTTTCCCCTTACTAATCAGATCCAATCATAGTAAAGCGCCATCCTTTTTTTTTTTTTTTGCCTTTTTTTTTTTCAATTCACCTTATCCTTTTCTTTTTAATTACCAGACCAACATACCTTCATAGCCATTTATTTCACTGCATGTGCTATATTAGAAGAAAAACCTAATCCAGGTACCAAATTAAAATCTCTGAGAGACCTCCCTGTCAGGGTAGAAATTTATAAAAGGAGTAGGCAAGAAGGTAATCACTGATAATTATGGACTGGTAATGTACTTTACTGCATGTTTTAAAAGAACTAAGGCACGTGCTGTGAAAAGTTTTTTTTAATCTCTGGGATTTTGAAAAGTTCACATTTTGAAAAATTCGGGTTTACATTAAACTGGCCTTCAACTGGTTCCAGGCAACCATACAATGAAAGGAGGTCTGATTGCAACATAACAATGATGAGTTTACGGTTCATGGTGGCACAAACTGCAGAAGCAAAATTGAGTACCAAAGCATGTCACAATGCAATCAACCTCCCTCAACAGTTGCCATCCACTGAACCAACTCAGGGGTAGATCAAGATGGGACCACTGGTATGATTTTTTTTTCCAGAAATCGAACCCCAAAAAATATGCCACTGCAACTGAAAACCAATTTCAGGGACACTTGATAGAAATAAATGTAAACGGCTTTATATACATCATAGTTTGTGTATAAAAAGAAAGAGTTGCATTCTGTGTGAGTATGCTACAAAACATGAAGGCATCCACATCTAAGGTCTCATTCCCATTGAAACTATCAGTCTACATAGGTCAATCAAGTTCCATGGGGACTCTTGCTGAATACAATCAGTTTAAAAGATTACCACGCCTCCTGGCAATGAGTAGAATGCTGAAAATCTGGTTATTAATCTGTAAAGCTGACTGCATTCAGGGAGATTCCACATGGAGTAGGCTTGATCTATGCAGACTGATAATGGAGTCTGTAATGTTTTAAGGGGAATGAGCCCAAGTACCAGAACGCGTTGGTGGGAAAACCAACCCATGTGTCATCTCTCTTATTGGATAATTACACAGTGTGTCAAATATGTCAAGCCATTTTTTTTTCTCTTTTTCAACTGAAGCCTTTTCAGGAACTATACAAACCTTTTCATCTAAAGCCTTGTGATGTTCAAACAAAGACTTGAGGGCTTTCAAAACTTCCACTTCGCTGGAAACCCCAGCGGGAGAGGAGGCCTGGCGTTTGACCACCGTCATCCTAAGTGACCGCTCGTGCCGAGAGACCAAGCACTCTAAATGTTCTAAGAGGAGCTGCAATTGAGTAAATGATAATAGTGATTAAACAAAGCAAGGAAGCATAGACAAATGAGTTTTATAATCATTATGATCATTATATATGATTTATTGGTCCATTACGTAATTATGCAATAATGAAAACATTTTGTTGTAAGTGATGTATTAAGCCTGCTTTCCAATAAACTGAAATCATGCAATTTATTTCACAAACATCAAACAAAAAACATTCTCCTCCTCCTGGAGATATGAGCTTGGGTTCTTGAAAAAAAAAACTCTGAAAATGTATTGTTGGACCAACACCTAACAGCTGGGAGCTTGGATCATGAATTCATGGAAAAACAAACGCCTACTCTTGTGCCAAAAAAAGGGGGGGGGGGAAGAATGATGTCCATGGAACAGATTAAAATATATGACCTTGACTGTCCACTATGAAATACAAAAAGTACTGTGTACAAAAATGTATTAATGAAAATCTTTTTTTAAGTCAAAAATAAATTTTTCACAAATGTGCAAATCCAAAAACTCAAAAATGATATGTGTCAAAGTGACGTATCTGTCCATGTTTTGTGCTAATTAAGAAACTTATGTTCCCAAATTATCGACTGAAAGCAGCGTCCTCGTTTGGCTCCAATCATGGAGCCATAAAAGACCAGGGACCTCACCTTCAACAACCATACATCAAAGGAAAATAAAAAGAATAATAAGTTAATACTCCCGTCCTGGAATAAAATTATCAGCTGTCAAAGGGAATCCTGAAAAAATCCATAGAAAACTGTGTCTATCTGTGAGAGTACTTGACACCAGCAACTCCCCAGTGGACTCATTACTACTATGATTAGTCCCACTTGCAAAATCAGCAGGCTAGATGCCATCTGACCTTTCTGTTAACCGATCTTGATTTCATGATTAACCAGTTTGTGCTAAGGGCTGGCAGGACGGAGAATAGGTGATTATTTTTTCCTTAGAAATTCATCAGAATTAGGCGCATAAAAATTGTAAATGCATACTTGTAGTAGTGTATGAAAAAAATTATATAAAAAAGACATGAATAAAGAGCAAATCTCCATATGGTTTTTATTCTGTCCATGTGGTAATTTCTCTGAATGACAGTGAAAATGCTGCAAGACATGGAAGACAATGAAATAAAACCTCCGTAAGATGGAATACTTACACAATCAATATAAAAGGGCACATCTTGAAAATGGACTTTAATAAAATCATGGGAAGAGAACATTATACATCAACTTCGTTTCTTGTATAAATATATAGGAAATGAAAAGAGCTAGAGTTTGATATGGACACTTGTATAAAAACCTGTTTTACAACCTATGTGTATGGGGATGTGACAAAATACAGAAAAGAAAATGGGAAATAACTTCACACAACTGTTTGTAAAAACCCTTACTACACAAATAAGTAAAACAATTAAGTGACATTTCTAATACAAAAAGGCAATTACAAATAAAAGTCCACTCTCTCAGCTCACCCTTGTGTTATTCCTTTCTGCTTTGAGTTCTGAGATTTCTTCTTCTTTCTCAAGTAGGTTTTCGCGCATTTGGCTCAATTCTTTGGTAAGGCTAGCATATTCCTAGAAAAATACAAAAAGACCCTACGTTTAGCAAAGGAGATCAAAACCAACAGACAAGAAGAGGGCTTCAGGAAATTAGGATAAAACTTATTAATATTCTACAGACAAAGTGAGATCAAATTAAACAAATGCTTTGAATCTGCAAATTAAAACTGATATTAGACTAAGGTGGTTCCGGGGAGGTGTCAAATACCAGTCCATATCACAATGCGTTACAAAGAAGAAGATTAAATATGTGCATATTTATATCAGGTTAGCTTAGTTTAAAAGCTTTCATACTTAAATATATTTATAATTCTCTGATTTCTGACAAAGTATACTACAATCTAAAAGTCTAAATCAAGCTTTCAGTGACCAACCAAATCATTCGTGGTCTGCCAAAAATTCATCATAGTATGCAACAGGGATTGCAAAATTAAAGTCTTATTAACAAACTATACTGACCAAAAACTTCATAATAATTACGATTATCCAGAAATGAACATGTCTACGTGTAATGTCAGTTAAGGTGATCAAACATTTGTTTAAACAATTAAACAGGTTATCTCGGTTCAGGACCCAACTTTTCATGCCTCGATACTGGTATTGATGTTTAAAGATGAGCTAACGAATGCCACAACAATATGAGGCCTGCTGAAAGTATAACAACAACTGGATGGAAAGCAGAGCCAACAAACGCCTGTTCACACATAAAAATGGTTTGGCAGCGATCCATCCCTGTTTTTAGCAACTGTCCATGCCGTGCATCAAGTTTACTCCAGCTCAGCAGCAGACCACCTTTGTACAACTTCACTTATTTATTTTGGTGGCTTCCTGCTGAGCTGTTAACCATCTCCTATACATAGTTAAGATGACTGCTGACAAAAAGGAACGTTTCAAAGAAGTTCTTTTTTTTTAGTGTGAACAGGCATATTATTTCTTCTTCACAATAGAGGCCCAAGAGAAAAGTACAAAAATGTAAAATCTATATAAGCACTAATCCCCTGCAAAAGGTCCTAGAAGAGGTGGCCAGACACCAACTTAACACTGGGACTCATTCTTAGGGGAGCTTATTGACTTTTTTTCCCTTTTAACTTAAGAAAACAGACTTGAAATCAAGACATATTCGGACCAATACCCACTTTTAAAAGTTACTTCGTGATGACATAAAAAAGCAATATTTTAGTTTTAATGAAGTATCAACTTTTTATCCAACTGAAAGGCTCTAGATATTTGGAAAGCTACACTTAAGAAAAGAAGCAATCACCAGTATATTTCCATGTGAAAGGAGCAAGAGCATGTTTTTAAAGGCTTTCCTGGCAATGATTACGAATCGGGAATTATTCATCGAGGCAGACATCTTCTGTAAATTACTCCCATGGATATCTTGAATGAAGACTTATTAATAATTCCAAAGACACGATGAGTTTTTTCTTGGTTTTCAGAAAGCAAGAGCCAGACCTCTATGTTCAGATCTTGTATGGCTCTCAGAGAAGTCGTTACATAAATGTGCTGTTTCAGTCAGAGCATTTCTCAGAGAGAGAGAGAGAGAGAGAGAGAGAGAGAGAGAGAGAGAGAGAGAGAGAGAGTGTGTGTGTGTGTGTGTGTGTGTGTGTGTGTGTGTGTGTGTGTGTGTGTGTGTGTGTGTGTGTGTGTGTGTGTGTGTGTGTGTGTGTG